CTGTCAGTAAGACTTAGTACTGAAATTATTATTTCCTGCAATAGTAGTAATAATAATAAAAAATGGTTATAAGTCCCACTTCAGTATAACTGAAGCAAATGAAGCACAGGAGCATGTTACACTCAAATTCAGGAAACAAATACTTTATTGATGATTTCACAGGATATCACATCCACTAAGGTAAATAAATTCAAATCATACATATGATTTCCATAAAAAGAAAAAAAAGTTCCAGGTGCAACTCTGCAGAGGTGTTAAAGATTTTCAGTTTTCCACAAGTTGTGAACAGATGTATTTCCAGCTGTAGGTTTTGGATCTTTAGAGGAAATTCCCTTGTAGCAGATGGCAGCTTTCTTTTCTCTTCATCAAGCTGCTTATTGAGTCTGGTTTTAATGAATTTAGTTAGAACTGGTTTATGCAGTTGTGAGGGGTGTAATTCTGACTTTGCTGGTGATGTACATCACCACAGGATTTGACTTACTGGATACCATTTCACATCTGCTGCTCCCAGACTCCGGTGAGAAACAGTTTCACCTGGGAGCTATGCATAAGCAAATCTGTGGCTAATTCAGTGGTCCAACTCTGATTAAAAATACACAAAATTTGAAATTTCACCTCTGCATAAGGACATGAGATTTATGTGATTGTCTGGCTGGTCTGTCAAGTCAGTATTTCTCTAATGATGGGGTTGAGCCCAACAGCTAATTTCAGCCAAAAATCTAAGACACACTTAATCTCCTTCAGCATCTGTGGATTTTTTTGGTCAAGAAGAGAGATCCAAGTGGATGTCCCAGTGAGAAAACAGCAGGAGGCTGCAGCTGCCAGAGGTTCCATGGGATAGGGAGGAGGCAACTTGTGCAGCACCCTCAGCTCACCAGGCTGCTCCTTGCTGGTCAAGGCTATGAGGAAAACATGACAAGGGCTCAGGTTACTGCTCTGAGGATTTATTTTCAGCTGAGTTTGTATGTCCCAGAAGCCATGTTTGCTCCTGACAAGTCCCATGTGATTTTTTTTTTTTAATCTTTTTTTCTGTACCATCAGACTTCATCAATCTGTTCTTTAATTCTCTTTGTTTGAAAATTGAGCAGAGGTACTTCAGAGGAATAGTGAGAGATTTAATTAACTTTTACAAACAGAGAGGATAATGAATAGGTGATAAAGACTAGAAATGGAAGTTCAATACTAAAGTGTAGTATTGATTTAGAGACATCTGTCATTCCGAATCTCAACAGCAGAGCATCAAGGCTACTTTACAATACAACAAACAGAGGCAACTCTTTGATTTCTTTAAAGCCAAATGTGTTGTTTCATGTAAAAGGGAAAAAAAAAAAAAAAGAGGAAAGGAGGGGGGAGATAAAATGACCTCCCTCAGAATCTGGACTCCTAAAACACAGTCTGCATTCTTACTGATTTCTCAGAGTGCCCTTCTACAAAGGAGTGTCTCCTGCTCTCTAGATCTGTTTTTCTACTTTTGCTGCAGAAGCATAGTGCTCAGTCGTAAAGCTGTGATATAATGGCTCTTTCCCCAACTCTAAAAGGTTCCATACTTTGGGACACAGAGGAACTTTCTTCCAGAAAAATCACCTTCACAGAATGATATGCATTTCAAAAGAAAAGCACATGAAGGCCCTGTGTGACATTATTGGTATGCTTCTGCATCCAGTGTGTCAACAAGACATTTTTCTGTTTTTTTCTTTGTGTTGTAATAATGCTCTGCTGATGAAGGTGCAACATGAAAGGCTGCTCTTTATAGGATTTGAGTTTAGTACTGTGTGGAACAAGAACACAGGAAAGCAAATAGTATTTCCAAGCAGAAGCATTGAAGTGAGACTATGATCACTTTTAGAAAGCCTCTATTTCTCCATATCTCAGGTAATTAGGCACCACACGTGTACTTTGTCTTCTGGACGTAGGCAGTGTGGATTTGAATTTAGAATTTAACTCTCTACTTTTGCCTACAACAAACAGTATTAAAAACAGATTAAAATAACAGCAATAGAATTGAAAAGGATGTTGCAGAGAGTTTTATGTATGTATTCTATTTGCATTATCTTTTTTGTGCTCCTGTGCTATGAGAAGAATTTGAAATTGAGTTGCAAGTTCCTAAGCCTGAGTCCTTTTTTGCTGCACTTGAGGCATAGTGCTGAGTTTTAAAGAAGTGAGGAGGGTAATGGATGAAATTTAAGCCATTGCTTTGTTCACTGATTTATTTCTTCTGCTGCAATACTTTTTGATGCTGATTTAATTAACTTAATTTGTAGCTCCCCTTATTCTTGCTTTATTAATTAATTAATTCTTCACTCCTAGTTAAGCAGTGACATTTCTTACTGAAAGGTAGGGATGAGCAAATAATTTGTAATTAATAATGCTTTTTGCCGAACACCTCTGGGCAGATTGTAATTTTTTTTTACCTTATTTGTGTATTTTCTGCATGTATCTTCCTGCAGAAACAGCTTTCTGTAAGTGGCAGATAGATGCTTTTGTCACACATGCAGGGGGAATTCTCTCCCTGATGTTTCAGGTCAGGGGATTCAGCAGCACTTTGGTTAAAGTTGTAAAAAAGGACAAAAAACCATTGAGGAAAAAGTCACTAAGACAGCAAACCTATTATCTGACAACCCATTCCTCGTTTAAAAAGAATTTTTAACTTCCAAACACCAATTTTAGCCTGCTGACATCAAGAAGACAGTTTCCAAAATTACTGGAGAGAGACTGACCCACTCAGAGAGGCAACCAAATCACCAGGTGTTGTCTTGAGCCACCTCCAGAGGACTTTGGGGAGGGTCCAGGCTGCTGCACCTCAATGCAGTCAGCAGATATTCACACTGGCACTTTGCTGTTTGTCACATTTGCTTTGCAGCCCAGTGCCCTTGGCCAAGGCAGTCCATTAAGGTGTCTGTAATTTGCACTGTCTTGCTGAATCTTTCTCTACATAAGATTTTGAAGAGGAAAGTGGTATCTGCCATGGGAGCACTAATTTGGGGCATCCGTACCCTGGCAGGACCCAGCTGGCCCCGAGGGAATCAGGGTGGGACACCAGGGGGGTCCCAGCCCAGGGAGCAGAGCAGAGCCCATCCCACACCCTCATCAGAGCTCTTGCCACCCAGTGGTGCCTGGGGGCTCCTGGGCTGGCCCAGGCCAGCAGTGCCCAGCTGGGGACAGTCTGTGGCCCTGCTGAGCCTCCAGCTTCACAAGCCTCATTTCTGCTCCCAAAAGACAGGTTTGCAAAGGGAAATGTAGCCCCATAATGCAGCAGCTTCTGGTTCAGAGTGGGTACAGGGCCATGACTGGAGAGTGAGATGTCTTCTGTGGTGACATCACCTTCTCTTTAAGTCTGGTGTGCCTCTTATGGGGAGAAGGGTGCCTTGTGTGGTCACAGGTTCACAGCCAGTAACCACCACAGCAGCAGGCAGGGCATGGGGCTTTGGCAGAGCCCTGGGCTGCACAGCTGGGCCTCTGCCTGTGGAGAGGTTAAAGTGATGGGTGGAGGAGGGTGTGCTGTGTTCTGACAGGCTGTTCTCAGCTGTGCAGTGCAAATGCAGGGAGGCACTTCCTTAGGCTACCCAACGAAGCTTAATGGGAAATATACTATGTATAGCGTCCAGCAATGCCCACCTATCCAACACAAATTCCCACCTGGGATCATCCCTGATGGACAGCACAAGAAACAGTCTGTCTTCACACAGATGAAGCATTTTGTGAGTGTAGGATGAGTGATTTTTGCTTGTGGGATGAGATTCCAATTCTGCAATTGTAATTCCCTCTGTTTTGAATTTATCTACAAGGTTGCTTGAATGAGCTAGTAAAGCTTACATCACTATTGGCTTAAGTAAAGCATCAAAATAGCAAGAAACCCAAGTATGTCACCTGTGCTATTTAAGGTTTTCAGATCAGCTGGTTTGGATCTATTTCTGTGCATCAATTTTTAAAGTAGAGCAATAGACAGGGATTTTGTTATGTATGTTCTTTACTCGGGTGCTGAGAGTACTCAGCTTTTGAGCAGCTCCACAACACATGCCTGCAATGACAGAGTCTGACAGATCTCAGGCTTTGATACCTAAAATAGTTTTATAATATGTCTTGTAGATCCTTTCACCTGAAAAGCATATTGGCATTGTGAAGAGAACAAAGATGATGTCAATTTTCTTTACAATAAAGAATTTTTTGAAAATTTTTTTTGAAAAATTTTTACAATTTTTCAATAAAGTAGTGATTGACTGAAAAATGTAAATGCATCTTTAGGATCAAGATTGTGTAACATGGGGACTTGAATCCTCAGTGTCTGAATATTCTGCTAAATGGCTTTGGTATGAGATCTTCAGCATTAGTTTTGTTTAGCTTGAACTCAGCTCACCTCTGAAATTATGATTTCCCTTACTCTCTATTCATCTCAACCACAAAAAGTATTTTTCTCTCTGCTATCACACAATAACGTTATCTCTACACAAAAAAATAATTAGTTACTATTTTTATTTGGAATTTTCTTTGTTACTGATTGTTTGGGTGCTGGTTTATTGGAAGCTCTGAATATTGTATATATATATAGATAACTTCCAGAAAGTGCTATTCAGTGATACGTCATAAATGCTGCTAGCATCAGCAAAATACAATAACTTAATTTGAGCAAGATTAATCTGACTTGCTCTGGGACTGGTACATTCTGTTTCATCTTAAATGAAGTAAAGTAATTAATTTTGTGTAGTTTTCATTTTCACATTAACATTCTCTTCTGTGAAGTGTAATTGCCTTCTTGTTGTTTGCTATACTGTAGTCATTTTAGTTAGGGCAGCTCTCTATAGGGAAAGACCCAGTTCTTCTTCCTGGAGAGATTGCTTCACAGACCAGACAGTCAGAAATAGAGGACACTTGAGTGGTCTGGTTGGCCTAAGGTCATACAAGCCATCAATCAGAATCCAGACTGCCAGAACCTCATTCCAGTACTGTATCCAGGGACCGTGCTGCCTCTTAATGTCACTGTTCTTATTGTTCTTTCTTTATAGTTCGGGATCGGGTACGATCTAAAATGGAGAGAGATATTTTGGCAGAAGTGAACCATCCTTTCATAGTCAAGCTTCATTATGGTAACTATATTAAAATATAATTCATGTTTGTTCTTAAATTGGTTGGGGAATTGTGACTAGATGTGTTACACTTTTGTGCAGATGCCCCCTGCCTACTTATGACTCTGTTGCTAACAAAGTCATAGAGGGTACCTGTGTGAAATTCTTCATTTATGCTGAAGGAGGCATCCAGTACTTGTAAGTTTCAGCCATTCCCCCATTGAAATAAATTTGTCATTAAGTCTGACATGATAGGTAGTGCTGGTGGGGTAGCTGCTGAGTTAACATCTGCCAAACTCTCACCTGCTGTCAGGTATTGTTCAGGAAGAGAATTCAAATAAAAGCAGGTTATAATAATCAGTACCAGTCTAAATTTGTATAGGTGTGTACATGAATGTGGTGTCTTGCTGGAGTTGCCTCTTGCCATGCCAGCCCCATTACTACTGGAACAGCTGTTCTAAGAACATTTGGTATGTGGGCTCTTCTCTCACACAGACATGGAAACTTCTCTCTATGCCTCGCTCTCAGTGACTGCTGACACTCTGTGGAGTGGGAAACACTGTTAATTCATAGGCCCTTAACACAGAAATTAATATATCAGTAATGCACTGTTGTCAACTGACACTATTTTTTTCCATAGCCAAAGCTCAATTGCTAAGTTCTATACAGAAATGGGGTTTTTTGGTTGTCAAAGTTTTGAAGTGACAGTGAAGCAATGGCATGAATGATACAGTGCTAGGCAGCAGGACTTACTCATTGAGGACTTTATCTTGGTTCAAACTTCCAACATCTTCATCCTTTTCTAATGCAGCATTTCAAACAGAGGGGAAGTTGTACCTCATACTAGATTTCCTGCGGGGAGGGGACCTTTTCACCAGACTCTCCAAAGAGGTAAGCTGATCGATCTTTAACTCAGAAATTAAAGACTGTCTTGGATTTTCAGAACTCAAATTGAGTTCAGGGGAATGAAAAATGGTCTTGGGAATAGTCATCTATGTATGTAATGGAGCTATATCATCTTGCATGGTTAAGTGGGTTCTTAATAATTGTATTTGAATTAAGCCAGAGGTAATGCAGCAGATACCATGTAGGCATCACTGCCAGAGAAAACTGCTCCACTGCTAAGCCATTCCCATAGCAAAATAGCCCCAGACTCAATGCTTTCAGAATAACTCTTGGATATGATGAGAAACAGCCTGAGAAATCAATCCCCAAAACATTTTGCCCTAGGGATGAGCACAGAGCCACTGGAAAAACACACACACTGCCAGCAGAGGGAAGAGATGGCCATGGGTGAGGGCCAGCCCTGCAGCTGCTGGTAGCAGGTTAAGGGCCACGCACCAGCCCAGACATGGGAGATTGACTCTCACAGCGCTCACCTGCCCTCCTCCTGCCTGCCAGGTGCAGCTGCTGCTTCCATGCCCTCCCCAGGCTCTCATCCCTCCCCTGTCCTCTGCATGCCATGCCCCTGGACAGGGACTGCAGGCAGGGAACGTCCCAAACCCGAGTCTCGCTGATGCCCGCAGAGAGCAGTCGCGGTAGGCTTTCTAGGTTCATTTAGCTCTTTCCTGTATCTCCAAACCTCTGTGAGCCAGCAGTCCCAGAAAGGTCCCTGCAGGAGTGCAGGAGGCTCCAGTGAGGCAGGATGGCTGCCCTGCAATTGTCTGTGCCCAGCATGATGTCCCCAGCCCTTGGTGCTTCTAAGGGTATGGGGTCAAGGATGCAGGCAACCACTTAACACAGTCTTTAATGACAGGAACATTTCAAATACTATCTTGAGGGGAAGCTCTAGTTCTTCTTGAGTTTTGGGAGCTACTGATGGACTAAAAGAGCTGTGAAAAAAGTCTTCTCAGTCAAAAGTTCCCCAGCTCTCCCCCACTCCTGCTCAATTCCTGATTCAGTGACATGCTGCAGGATGCTGTGTGCACTGCAACTTGGGACCCCGAGCTTTTGCTGTTAAGGCTTGTTTGCTAATGCAAGAAGACATTGGTAACAAGTTAATTGCACTGCTGAGTAATGATCCTTATATAAATATTCAGTCCCTGGTAGCAGTTATTTTTAATATGAGGAAAAAGATTCAAAAAATTTTAATTTCAAATGTCCTTCTGCTATTGTCATGAGACCAAGCTTTATTAGCAAGGCAGCGCTGCTGTCTCAGCAAAGGCCTCTCTGGTTTCATGGAAGAAGACAGAAAATGTGGCTCTTGCCTAAGAGGGCAGGTCCCTGTTCTGCACAGCCAGAGAACTCAAAAGTGGAAGATAACAGCTCAGACTTTGTACTTCATTAAAGCTTCATGTTTTCCCCAAAGCTTGTCCAGGGCAATTCAGCAACTCCTGTGCTGTATCCCATCGTTAATGACTCATTAAGCTGACACTAAAAACATCTCTTTTTTTCAGTGTTTGCAGCTCACCTTGCCTGCTTATACCTTGCAGCTGTTTAGGAGCAAGGTATTGCAAGGGAAGAAGTTCTGGGAAAGCTTGAACTGTTTGCAATTTGTAGTTATAGATTTGACTGAAAGGTATTGATTTCAGTGGACTTCAAGTCAGATCCCATATATAGTTATTGCATGCATGCATGCATGCAGAGCTTGCCTATTTCTTGCTCTGTCTTTTTGAGACATCTGAGTTTAACTAGGTGTATATGTATAGATTAGATTTTTCCTGGATTCTATTGATTTAATTTCTTGCCTACATTATTTATTTTAAATCTTATAAATAATTTAAATTACTTTTAAAATAATGTCAGTTTTACATTTAATACAATTAAATTTGAGAGCTTTTGCTTGTGTATTTATTTATTATTTTCCTTGTGGTTTTGTTTCTAGCCTTTGCAGTAAAATTCTTCATTAAATTATGAGACATCTGTACTCTGAATCATCTCTTTTCTCTCAGCTGTCTGGAACTTCTCAAAGCACTCAGATATTTTGGCTACCCCTTTTTGAGAGCAGAGACTTAATTTTAAAATTAAGCTCTACAACTTCTACAGTAGAATTTACATTTACATATGACAAGTATATTTGTATTCAGCTGACTCATTTTACTTCTGTCATGCATAATCACACTTGAGTATCCAATATATCAGCTTCTTTTTCTGCATTATTAACTCTGTCCATATTGAAATTTAATTCAAGAGAACATCTCAGATATAATGGAAGTTGAACCAAAGGGGTTTCCTGCCATCTGAGTTTTTCAGAGCTTATTGGTTTTTTGATTACAGAAGTTTCTTCTCACCTGAAACACAGCCTTCAGTGTTAGCAGTGTCCATATCAGCTGCAGAAAACACTGTCTTCATTTGGCACCTCATCAGGCCTTGGGTGTTAGACAGCACATCACTGCTTAGGGCATCTGCACTGATATTCCTTGGACCTCCAGGGCATGAGGTTTTAACTCCATCTCTGATTCTCTTCGTGCTGTGTTTTCTGCTGAGACTTGGAAGTATTCCACTTCCCCAAAAAGATTTTCATGCTATTTCATGGGAATTTCGTAACCAAATGCCAAGACTGTAGCAAGTTAAGGGATATGAAAGCAATATGAGCTGCACTGAATGTGTTTAATTTTGCTGTTCATTTCCAAAGCCTAAGGAGTTATAATTTATTCCTAATATTGTGGCATAGTGTCATCTAAACAGATCAAACAGATGAATGAGAGCAGCATATTTTAAGGAATAGAGGTGCTCAACATATCAAGTTTTGTTTTATAGGGAGAATCTGGTAAGAATTGTTCATGTCAGTTCAGACAAATTATGGAAAATTGAACCTGATACAGTGTTCCTTCCAGCATTCCAGGTTAGACAATTCCTTCCCTGTGCCTGTTTAAGGCAAGCCAGCCTACCACTGTCCAATAAATAGATGTGGTCTTCTCTTCCTTCTCTCTAGGTGATGTTTACAGAAGAGGATGTCAAGTTCTACTTAGCTGAGCTGGCCTTGGCATTAGACCACCTCCATGGTCTTGGAATTATTTACAGGGATCTAAAACCAGAAAAGTAAGTTAACAAGGAGAAGTGAACTGAAACATAAATACTTGAACTTTTAGGTTGCTTCTGCTCCTTGTCACGCTACTAAATGAGAAGGTGCCAGGGGCTCTGCCTTCCTTCTTGTTTGTGAGACTCTACACGAGACCGTCACTTACAGCAGCGCGGCTTTCCTGTCACGCCGTCTTAGCAGGAGGCCAAATGTTTGGGCTGTGCTCCAGTATGATGGGACCTCTCTGTGCCTGGCCTTCAGTTTTGTGAATGATTTCAGTAAAGAATTCAGATCCCTGTGCCTTTAACTTCAGTGGCACCATTCACTGTTTGCAGCTTTAATCTGGCCTTCCCCCTGATGCACTGAAACCTCTCAAAGCAGCTCCACTTCCAGCTTATACAGAATATATAGAATATAGCATGGAACTGTTCATGTTTACTGGAGCCATTGCTTAAAGTAAATTAGCATGTCTGAGAACTTGTGTGCCTGTTAACTCATGAGAGACATGAAAATCAGGACTTCTAAAACACTTGCATTAACTCTGCAAAATATATTCCAAAATATTTGTTCTCATATTTGCAGCTATTTTTCACTCATAATGTGGTCCTAATTTTCCTTTCTCTTTTTTATTTGTAACACATCAGCAGAGCAAATGACACCCTCAGTGCTGTCACTGGGAGTGACGTGATACTGTTTTTATTCTATGCTGTTTGCTTGGTGCTTGGCTGGATTCTGCTGTGATGACTCAAATCAGGCTGCAACATTCCAAAGTTCCTTTTTAATGTAATGGTCACCAGCATTTATAAAAGATAACCACTGAGGGCAGTCTTTTTGGTAATTGCTTACATTTTCAAAGTCTAACAGCACAGCAGCATTTTCCTTCTGTGACATCAAACTGAAAAATATGCAGCTCTTTCTTTAAATGGAGTGTTATTGCTCTCACTCTCACGGGCAAAACATGAGATCAAAAGTGATGGAAGGTGGACTTTTTGGGTGAGAAGTTGAAGGGAAGGAGACTGTTTGTCTCCATTGCAGTTCTGTGTGATTTAAATTCTAAATTCAATTTTATGTTTTGGTTAGAAAAATAGTAGTAGTAGTAGTAGTGTGTGAATTCAACAGATGTATATAGCAGGAGCTCTCAGGCTTTTGGGCTAGAGGACTTTTTGTAGTTGACCAGATTTTCCAGTCTTGCCCATTTATGCAGCCAAAACTGGAAACCAGAGTCTTTGGCAAATATGGGAAGTGATCCTACAATTTAACAACCGGAGAGAGAAGAGTACCCGTTAGTTCCTGATATGAAATGCAGGTAGGCAGTGGTGACACCCCAGCTGCCACAGGCTCTTGCATCAGCTGCCAGCAGCTCCTGGGCTTCAGTTCCATTCTGAATTGCTGTTTTATCCATTCAGCATCAACAAACATGTATACAATAGAATAACTCCAGGTGTAGGTTTCTGGTTTAAACTTTGATTCTAGTGATCATTCATTTGGATCGTGCACTGCTCTCCCCTCTGATCTTAGATGTGGCTGATTTTTGAGATAACACATGATGTGTGAATCTGCTGTTAGAAGGTATCCAGACATGAGCTTGGTTATTCAGATATGTCACAATACCATTACATTTTTAGGCATATGCTGTAATTTTTTACCTTAGAAGACGTTAGAAACTAAGGGTAAAATTAAGTGTATGTCAAAACTGTTCATTGTATTTGAGATACTGAGACCTGGATTCTTCTGAGTTCTCAGCAGGAAGTGTCACTTAGCATCTCAAAAAACATCTCTCTATGACTCCAGTTGCAAGGTGAGAGCACTTTATATTACTGCAGACCAAGCTGAAGTGCTTCGGTGAATAGAGAAATTGGAGCTCATCTAAGGAAGGAAGGTGTCACTGATTTGTCATTGTCACATAGAAACATGTTGAAAAGGTACAGGTGGAATCCAGTTTTTCTATATTTTTGTCTGAGCTGAGACCAGCCATCCCCTTCACTGTACTTCTCTGCTAAAATCCCTCCCTGAGTGTTTCCAGTCTGCCAACTGAGACAAGATTTCTTTGGAAGGAAATAAAAAAGTATTCTCACGTAACTGGAGACCTATACTCAGAGAGATCACTGTGTAAAGTTAAGGTGGCAGCCCTCACTCTTGCATTTTCTCACTGTTGTATTTATGGTTTATGGCCTTTGATCTTCAGTTAAATGGATTAACTGTGATACAGTTTAATTTGGATGCAATTGACATAGTGTAAAATTAGCATACATGAATATTACTGTTGTATAGGAAAGGGAATGACCCAGGAATTCATTCCTGGAGATAAAGCAGTGCCTCTGATTGAAAACCATATTCTCTAAAAATAGCTCTGCAAGTGCAAAGCCTATGTGCAGTCACACCTAGGAGAGCAGAGCATGACAGCCTATGATTTCTCTGGAACTTTAGATTTACATTAAAGAAACAGATACAGCAGAATAAAACAATTATTCTCCAGGGGAAAAATGCTAAATTTTTTGAGTTACATCTGGGAAAGTATATCTTTCTAAATAAGATTATAAGATAAAATTAGGACCATCTCAGGATGTTCTCATCTTCCCCTTGCCCCCTTGCAGGATCAAGACCATAACAGGTGTGTTGCTAACCCAGGCTTAAAGCAGCTGATGAAGACTCCATGCTCTACACAGGAGGCCTCTTGGCAGTGCTCCAGCAGTTGTTCATCTACAATGCTGCTCTTAATACCTAGTTTGAAATTTCTTCACTGCCCCTGCAGGCCAATGCTCCTTGGCCTGTCCTCCTGGATGCCCCAGCCTGCTTGTTCTGCTCTCAGCAGCAGCCTCAGGGGGTTGTGAGAACATCTTTTTCCTTAGACCCTCTTCTGTACCCTAAACAATCCAGGTGCTGAACTCTTCTTCACTAGTCAGTCTTTACAGGGGTTGTCCTTCTCATTACTCCCCTTTGTTTTCCCTTGATTCCTCTCTCCTTTGAAGTGCAACGTGCAGAATCACACACACATCTGCAGCAGAGGCATTACCAGCATGATTACAGCACAAGGTTTGCTCTGTCAGATTCGCAGAACTAGAGATAAATTAATTAATTCATAATTTCCCAATTCTCTCTCTCTCTCTCCCTCTTTCTTCCCCTTTCTCCCCTTTATTAAAGATAGGCACTGCATTAGACCTTTCATTGTTCAATGCTTTTGCTGTTCTTTGGATGCTCCCAAAATAGCTGCTGATACGTTTGAGTGTGCTTGTCAGCTCTGTAAGTATGCTAAAATAAAGCTCATTGGAATCGTTTATTTAAAACAAAACAAAAAAAAACCCTAAACAAACAGAAAAAAAACAGCTCTGTTAAAACTACTTGGAAGAACCCTCAGTACATTAAAATTTAAGGTTCACATTTTTTTTGTTAAGATTCCCTGAGCAAAAATCCATGTTAACAATTCAAAGCTATGAGTTAATTTCAAGTGCAACTGGGAGTTGTCCTCAAGTCAGCTGTACTTACTTCAAAAAGACAAGTAATTGAGCTTTCTGGTTAAAGTCTTGTTTAGAACAAGCAGATGCTTCTCTTGAATTGTTGCAGAGAAATTCTTCTCCTTGAGTTGTCTTGGTGATTTCAGTGGCATCTCTTGTGGGACAAGGTATTGTTCAGTCACACTGGAAGCCACTGAGTTCCTTAAATGATGAGGCATGTTTTTACTTAAGAACTGCACAATCAAGCTATAAAATATGGTGTGTATATATACCTTGGTATATATGGTAAATATACCAAAATAGAAAAATGGGAACTTATCATAAGGTAGTATATGATGCATATTTTATTTCTTATGCTGTGGTTTAAGGACATGGGTGACTTAGAAATAACTCTACCATCTGAAAATGGACAGACCGTTATTAATCTTTACCATTTCTCTTTTCAGGAACCTAGATGCACTTTGAGTTCTGGAATAGGGGCTTAGGTTAACAAGGAGAGGTGTACATTTTAAGGCCCTCAGTTGTTTACACAAGGGACAGTGTAGACACTATACTCTAAAAAAGCCAGGCACCACTTTTTAATGCAGCGTGTTGCCAACCATAACTACTGATTTATGAATGTAAGTGTCCTGTGTAGAGAGGGGAGACCTGAGAATCAGCAAGAGACAAAGGCTTATGGTGGAAAGCCTCCACTGATGTAAGCTGTCCCTTTTTGGCTTCATGGTGTCAACACAGCTACAGCGCAGAGGAATTTGCATTCATCAGGGTGAGATAGCATGGGGGTCATGTGAACCCTGAAATGTCACAAAACACAATTTGTGAGAATCTTCATGTCTTTAGTAGGTATTTGACTGCTTCATCTGGTACTTTCATAACAAAATGAAATAAAACACTCTTGATAAAGTCTCAGGTTTTATCTCCCACCTGAAAATTTAGCTACAGTTTCTGATTAACATAAAGTGTGGGTTGAATCTTCTGCAAAACTGCTCTCACTTAGAAAGAAACTTATATCATCAAAAAAAAAAATTCAAAACCAAAAAAAAAAAAAAAGAAAGAAAAAAAAAGAAAAAACCAAACCAAACGCCAACCAAATGAAAAAAAAAAACCAACCCCAGAGTTCCAGCTTTATTAGGTTTGGCAGAACATTGCATTGATTTGGGGATGTTGGAGCTCAAAGTAAAGCCCAGAAGACATGACTCAAAACCAAAAATAAAGAGAGCAAGAGAGAAATGGGAGAGAATTGTTCAAGCCTTACAACATGATATAAAACAATGCCAACAACCCATAACAAAAGCTTTTTCCCCTGTGTTAAAGCTGCAGCAGAAGAGTTGATAAGGAGTTTGCAGTCCTAGCTCTGCTAAGAGACTTCTCCTGTAATTCAGACTGTGTCATTCCTCTACTACAAATTTAGCTGCCCCAGCCTCTAGCATGGAGATTTCCAGCCTTTATCTTCTCAAGGCATACTTTTAAACCAAGTTCAGTGAAAGTCGTTCGAATGTTTGTGGGATGGTCCTGATGCTAAAGTGTTCAATCATAGAATAATGGAATATCCCCAAGACAATCCCAAGGATCACACCCTGTGTCTGAGAGCATTGTCCAAACACTCCTTGAACTCTGTCAGGCTGGTGCTGTGATCACTTCCCTGGGGAGCTGTTCCAGTGCCCAACCATCCTCTGGGTGAAGAACCTTTTCCTAATATCCAACCTCAACCTTCCCTGAAACAACTTCAGGCCATTCCCTCATGTCCTGTCACTGGTCACCACAGAGAAGAGATCAGTGTCTGTCCCCCCTCTTCCCATTTTGAGAAACCTCTGGACTGTGATGAGGTCTCCCCTCAGTCTCCCCCTCTCTTAGGACACCCTTATTTTGTGACATTTTTTTGTTCCAAGCCTTTGTGTGGTTCACTTATTTATGGTGTTGGCATATTTTTCACCTAATAACTGTTATTACTGCTTTGAAGAGAAGGTTTACAATGACAGTATCCTGTAAAAGCACTCAGATATTAGACTGAAAGAATAAAATTTAAAAAAAACCTCCTAGCTGAAGTTTATCATTCACTATGATTGTAACCTAGCTTAGCATTTAAAAGTAGTCAACTTTTTATGGTTTTTATAATTTCAAAACATTAATTTAGATGAAAGATTATTCTCAAGTCTGAATCATATAAAGAACTACTGGCTGGTTTTCCCCTTCCATAGAATAATACTATCTTATTTCAGATTAGTTTGTTCTGCAAATCATAGCTAAAGTAATTGTGATTGTCACAATAGAATGTCTGCTATGGATATTGTGGGATAAAAAGGAATTGTAAGGTGACAAAGATAAAAAGAGTACAGAGTATGATCAGATAATTAGTTTGCTTCTACTGTCATGGGAAAACTATTTGTCTGTTGTTGCAATTTGCATTCTTAGAAGCAGGTACTTTGTTCTATTCTTCTTAATTTCACTCTGTGATAATTCAGTGCAACAGTTGCCCTTTTTTCCCCTCACTATTAGCATATTGTTTTCTTTTTACGTGGAATATAATCTTTGGTTAGTAGCTGTAGCATTATTTGTGCTGCCAGATGGCAAATGCGGAGGCACCCAGATGTCCAGAGGGTGCTGCCAGAGGCCACAGAGGAAGCTGCCAGCAGCCAAGGCCATGGTAGAAGGGTGGTTAGGGAACATGAGATGGAGGAAGGAACTGTAGATCACATTTTAGAGGTTATGGGATACACATCCATTGGAAGCCAGGATCTATTCATTTTGCTGCTCAAGCAAGCAGTGTGAGAAAGAGTTGCTGTATGTCTCTGACTCAACCTCAGGCAGTATTATCAGTCTGAAAGCTCTGCCAGTGTTGCCTCTATCCCTTTAATGAGGGTAAGGCATGAGCCCTTTAACCAGGGCAAAGTATGGGGAGCACACATCGTGTGCATACCAAAGCCGTGTGGGTTTTCAATAGGAAATTATGAAATGTAAAACCCATTAAGTGTAAAATCAATGCTTCTGGGGAAATTCCCTTTGAATTGCATAGTTATTCACAAGGGCTTCCTGGGCATGGGGCAAAATTTTGGGTGATTTCTGTGAGCTCTATTCCCCCCTCTATTTTTCCAAATCTGGGTCTGGGGAGTTCACACATTCATGCTCACTTTCACACTGGCTGGTGTTTTATTCTGTTCTCTTCTGAAGCACAAGTTTAGGGGTCGCAGTCACAAAAGTACATTTAAACATGACTGCTATAGACTAGTACTTGAAAATTATGCATTCAAGGAAAATGTGGAGAGAGAATAAAGGTAAGATGCTTTTATTGAGAAGAAAAGGCTTTAATTATTTGACTTGTGGTACTGACTTAGTTGCTGGCCTTTGATGACTTGCACAACAGATTTTTCTAAACATGTGAATGACAGAAGAGCATCTTTTTTCAATTATGTTTCAGTTCAGACACAACTTTTCACAAAAAGTATAGCCCATTATATTTGGTTCACTTCTATAATATTTTCTTCCTGAATAATTATAACAAATTGATTCTCTAAGAGAAGAGGAATATAAAAATAGCTGGTATCATGGTCGATCAGTTTAAAAAGAGAAATATACTCAGTTTAACTAGGACTCAGAAAGAAAAGACCAGAAGAAAGACCACCTTCATTAGTATGTCAGTTTTTATTTACCAAAATCATTATTTTTTAAATTCAGTGTTCCTTCTTGTTTCCACAAAAACTAGCATTGTTTTTTTGTGATCTAAAGAAATGTTTTAGTGCCTTTGTGAGAAAAAAATATGTTGGCAGGTGGCAAATGTGAGAACACTTGAATTTGGCTTCCAGGCTGAATTTTCATATTTTCATCTGTGCTCTGGACAGAAAAAGTAGGCAGTGGCTGAGATCCATGCAGTTAGGCAGTGACTAGTCACTGTGCTCTACAATGACTTTTATTACTTCAGCATGAACCTTTGGACTTAATTTTAGGTCGAGTGAGTCCAAGCCTTGATTATTTGTGTGATTGCCTTTTCTTATGACAAGAACAGGAAATGTGTAGCTCCTTCTCCTGCTGGAAGCATAAACCCTGCAGCTGCTGTCTTTGAGCACCCTGTTCTTCCTGAGCTCTGTTTACATGCCCACCTTGAACATCCTGTGGAGGACAGAGGAGGCTCCTCATGGAACTGCCTCAGGCTGTGCATGCTTCAACATGAGATTTAAAATATATTTGAGGTTCATTTTTCTTTCTGGAGCCATAGAATCCACTAAGGTTTTGTGTACATAAGTATTTGAATCTTGCGATGTTTCCTTACCTGACTTAAACATCTTTAATTCATGTTTTTTAACTGCACTTTGTGCCTGGCTAATGAATGAATCTTTCTTTTTTTGCTTTATAGCATTCTTCTTGATGAAGAGGGTCACATTAAGATAACAGGTATGTGAGAAACAGAAAACTTCACGCCTATAAGCTGATTTTTTTCCTGCACTATCTTGCATGCATCCTGGTCTTTGGTTGAAAGGAGATTACTTACAAAAACTAGAAGCCAGAAGAGTTTCAGTGTTGAGCTTCTCTGTCAATTTGTCAGCCCCCCTGCTGCACAGCACATAGAGAACATAGCATTTTCTTGGTAAAATTTTGTGCTCTTGACTGATGTGAAGCAGGCAGGTTTTGCTGCTTGCCACTGTGGATGGAAGGATGCTTCTAATATGACTATTTAATCTAGGCAGAGGATGGCTGGAAAGACATCCCTTTCCCACTCTAGAGGCACTGTATAGCCAACCTTTTCACTGGTGTAATCTGGGATTATTATTCCTAATACTTTGGAATATAGCTGCACAGGAATCCTCACTAGCATTGCCTTCACCAAACCTGAGCACTATATATCTGCTTATTTGAACTCCCTTCTGCCCTGAGCCAGAACCTCATTCTGCACAGGGAAAATGAGATTCCTGTTCTTAGGTTGTATTAACAAGTGCCAGGCACTCCACCTAGGCAGGGCTCCAGCACCCTCGTGCCTGTGGCCTCTTTCTGCACAGGGACAGGAGGGCACTTCCCCAACTGGTTGGCGTGTTTTGTTCAAACAATTTAAGACAGCAAAAGCATAAATAATAACTTTTAGAGAGCTGACAAACCCTGCTCTGCTTCAATTTGTGTAGATTTTGGTCTGAGCAAAGAAGCCATTGACCACGACAAGCGCGCGTACTCGTTCTGCGGGACGATTGAGTACATGGCCCCCGAGGTGGTGAACCGGCGCGGGCACACGCAGAGTGCCGACTGGTGGTCCTTTGGCGTGCTCATGGTAAGGCACAAACTCTGCTCATCTGCTTCAGGGGTGGCTGGGGGAGGCATCAGATCCCTCTGATAAAAACTGCAGTGTCAGGGAGGTTTTTCAGAGAGGTTTTGTATCACTGTAGGACGCGAAAGGACACGACGCGGACTCGCTGCTCTTCCCAAGGTAAAAAAGGGACCTTTATTTTTCTGACTCCAGCATTTATACATTTCCAAAAGTGACAGTGGATTATAGGGTGAAAGTGCCACCTCTCCAGTGACAGTGGACAAACCACCATTCTCTTCTATAAAAGAATGCAAAATAAGTTATTTACATAAAGTGTATGAGAAAGTTCATTACAAGAATATAAACATCAGAAGGCTTAGAAAATCTTAAAAAATCAGGGCAACAGCATTGCACTCTCCTCAAGCCAGCCTTTTGAAATGACGTGTTCAGATGTTAACCTGCCTTCCCCACCCTGCACCCCTCCAGCCTCTTCAGTCTGTGTGCTATTGTTGCAGAGGCAGATGAAAAGATCTAGAAGTTGGTTTGTGCCACTGTGATTTTTTTTCAAAGCTGTATGAACCCTGTTTTGGAAGCATTGTTTTATCAAACATAGTGCTGTCCCTTGTGCCCAGACACCAGGCACCTGCTCCTCTCACAGGGCTATGTTTGGATAACAGAGCTGGTGCTGCTCTCTCCTGAGGTGTGCAGGCTGCAGATCCACCCTGTGCTCCGGGCATGGCCATCCCCAGCCAGCTGTGGCTCACAGGGCACCTCACCATGTTTGTCACAGCAGAACCAGGGCAGAGTCAGAAATTAGCATAGCAATGTGCTCTTCCAATACTGCACCATTTTCTGTGGTTTGGAGGCTTGTTTTGGTAGCTATGTATTGCACTACATACCAAAATCCAGAGAATATGTTTAAATTTCGTTTACCTGAAGTGGACTACTGATGCCACCAGAGGAAGCATAGGAAGAAATGTGAAAAACAGTGAAAATTTGGGTTGGGGAGGGTGTACATCACTGATCTAGCAGGTTGGCAGCAGTTAATCTACATAAATATTGTAATTTATTGCCTGAATTACAAAAGGAGTGGAATATCCTTATCTCCTGTGGCCACAAATCCTTTTGGGGATACTCAGCACTCTTAAACCATGTACATTTATTCACAAAAATCAGTAGGGTATGTCTCACAGAATAAATCTATCCCTACCCTTTAACTTTTTTATTATATATTTATTTTTGGTGAATAGCTGAGTCTTCTCACTCTTTGTCTCCCATTAAAAGATGGTGCATATGGTATATAGATTGTTCTTCTTTCACCAGCTAATAAACTCTTAATAAACTGGACTCTTCCTCCCTGGGTTTTGCTAGGCTTTCTTTTTTTCTTTTTTCCTTTCCATTCCTCTTTTCAACTCTCCCCTAAGGATTCAGCAGATTAGAATCCCTATAAAAGGAGATGAATTAAAGAAAGTAAAACCCTTTTAACTCCAAGGTAATGTTTTAAGCCTTTAAGTGTTACCAGACATCTTAGAGAAAAATATGTCAATCAGTTCAACCTTTTTTCCTTTTCAACATTTATCTGGTTGGGACCAAAAAAAGTTTATTTCCACACACTGAACAGCTGGGAGGATTTTCTGATTCTGTCTTTCCTTCTGCTCTTTTCTCCTTGTTTTCCTTGTTCTGTCACACGTATGTTCTATTATGGGAGCTTTTTTTTGGTCAGTCTGAAAAACTGAAGATAATTAAATCGTATTCAAATTATTTATTACCATTTCTTCCTAAGCATTTTGCAGAATGATTTAAAATAGATGAAGAAAATACATCTGTTGATGAAATATGCATAGATTCAAAAGAAGTGTATGTGATAGTGTAATTTTCATGTCTAAAATTCTTATCAAAAAAGGGAACGTATTATGCCTATAGTTATAGTATGGCCTGTATCTTCTTCATCACCAGAGCCAGCAAATACTCTCTTTTCTGTTCTGTTCTGTGAAGAGGGATTGCTGCTTCTCTTGCCAACCCCCATTGACCAGGGCACAGACCAGAGTCAAACTGAATGATCCTTGCACACTCCTTAAATGTGGCATGTTGTGATTAGTAATACCAAAACAAACTTGTCTGAAAATGACTAAGTTCTGGTCTTATTTATTAATTGTGTTATTAATTATTTTGTGAATTACTATTCACCAGGATTTTTACCGTCAATAACAGTAAAACTTCATTTACTGCTAGCTAGGTCTTTCACACAGGCCACACAACTGAATCTGTTACCTGCTCTGTTTGTTTGCTGCTCAGTTTATTTGAGTTGTTTTATGGTAGCTTACTGTATGCCAGCAGGTGTAGTTACACAAATCTTAAAATTTGCCCCTTCCAGCATTCCCAAGGACAGTCCCTGCTACGCATTAAGTAAGAGGTGATGACTGCTGAAACACTTCTGTGATTTCTGCTGGTGAATTTATGTGGTTTATCATAACCAGACAGTTTTTCTTTTCTGCCTTTCTGTATCTTGCTCACTGCACTGGAGGTTTTGGATAGGATATACTCTGCAAAAGCTTTGCATCAAGAGATCTTCATGTACAAGGGTTTGGCCTACATTGTTAAAAAGTTGAATGTGTAACTAATACCTTTTCAGCTCCACTGCAAGTCTTGATGCCCACACTGCCATCTCTGAAGCCCAGATAAACTGGTCTGCGTGATCTAACATGTTAAAACCTCTTAGAAGGGCTCACAAAGCAGTACTTTTGTAGTTCATCCTACCAGCTGATTTACAAGGTCACAGACCTTAGGAAAGTTGTATCTCTTTCACTTCAGGAAAAAACCGCTCTACACCTTTGAGAGTCATGTGAGCAGAGAGGGCAATATAATTAGAGAAATGGCTGTGATGACTTGGTAGCAGTCCCAAACCAGAAAAAATGTGTTCATACGTGTTAGCAAGTAATTAAGTCTTCACAAGAAAAGAAAATGTCCCTTTGGTATCCAAAATATTCAGTTCTGCACTAATTTTGTAGTAACTATATTATGACATTGGACAAATCAATGCAAGACATCAAAGTATCAATCTTCTTTTACAAAATCCCATTATTACAGTTTTTTTTATTCCCAGTGCAAGAGATGGTGTTCATGAAAATTATTTTGCATGTTTAAGCTCATTGCTATGTTAAGGGGTTCAACCCTAATTCATTATGTTTCCACACACAGAGATAATGAAAAATATTCAATGCATTTTGCAAGTATTAAACTGAGTGCTTGAGCAGTTCTCAGATACCTGGAAAATGACTGGAAGTGTTGAGAGGACAACCTGACCATTCTGATGAGAGTGTCTCGCTCTGTTTTCCAAAATGGAATGGTTTCAAGTTTCTTTGTAACTCTGAGTTTTATCTTGTGCTCACCATACTTCAGAAGACTTGGGCTGAAGTAGTTTGCACAACCTGCTCTCCTTCCATCCATTAGGAAGATTCCTGTGGTCGTTACTCAGGCTGAGGATTTTTTTCTCACTCATTATCTTCTCCAATAACCTTCCTGGGTCACTTCTTGAATCCTGAATTTCCCTAGGAAATGTGGCATTCTTTTCCAAGGTCTTCCCACTTGTATATCTTCTGGGAGGTGCTCATGCTTTGCCTACCAAAATTGGAGACTACCCTGAAAAATAGAGAAATGGAGCACTGCATAGTATATTGAGATCTCAGCAGGGATTATGTGACTTCAGAGGCCCATTAAGCCTAATTCTGTGGTTCTCTAAATAGGCATCTGAACTGGAAAAAAGAATATTTGCCTTTCTTGCACATGCTTTGGTACAGGAAGGAAGTCGAGGTTGGAGGGAGGTACAGCCTTCAGAAGTCTAACAGAAGATGGCTCTCTGAAAACACCTGGGAAGTGAATTGGTGGGAAGGAAGGAGTAAACAGATGGTTTCCACAGATTGGGAAGTAGGGAAAATGAAAATTGAGCCCCCCCAGCAAAACTATAGGGACTGCTTTAATGGACAAAAATACTGCAGAGTTCATTCATCCCTAGTCTCAGCTTCTTGTCAACCTTCTGTGACCCCCTCTGTATTTGTGTGCATGAGTGTGAGCAGCATGGTCTCACTTCTGTTTTCATTTCCAGGTTTAGCAAGATTTTGACTTTTTGGAAAAATCAGGAGGAAGACAGGTCACTGTGCAGTGAAATGATAGTTTTAACTGAGGAAATGAACAATTTCAATCTTTTTTCAGTCTTGTTCTTTCATTTTGAACCTTCAACAGATTTAGTCGGGACTGCAATTGAGAAACTAATGCTTTCTTCCAGATGCTGCTTAGCTAAGTTCATTAAAGCAAAAAGCTCTGGTACACCTAATTTACATGGTTGCCTTTCACTTTAAATATTGATGTTAACTGCATTTCTTCTGAACCTGAATTAATCTCAGCATGAGGCCTGCACAACTGGAGACGTGGTAACGAAGTGCTGGCCATTACAGCAGCACAGTGAATGCTTCCTGCAGCCTCCATAGCTGTCATTTCCTCTGCTCCCTCCTGCAACTTACGTTTCTTCCAGATTCCTTCCTTCTTGTTTCCATCCCTTGCAGCCATGGTGCATTTGCAGGTATTCCTGGGATATTGGGGTGGGTGGGAACTACAGTCATTTCCCACATAGTCACAGACCAAGGTGTTGCTTGTATCTGTATCATTTGCACCAGCAGTGTCAAGCCCATTTATGCCAGCATAAACGAGACATAGCAGTCATTGTTGGTGCCACTAAATTAGATTTATTATAGTAACATGGTGATGTGAGCAAGTGTAAGTGAACATGAGGTACTTACCGTGAGCATCAACGCTCTAGGAATCATGAGGAGGGTTTTGTACAATCTGTACCATTTCTGCTGCTGCCCTGGGAAGCAATGTTCTCTGCCCTTCATTCCCAGTCCCATTTTATCAGGACTAGGCTGTAATAGGACAGAATTACTTTGAAAATGGTATTTAAGCTCCAGTGTCATCTAGGCAGGTTTAAAAATTCACCCCCATTATGTTTCTTTGTAGAAAACGAGCTGCTTTCCTCCAGGTCTTCCAGTAAGGTCTTTTCTTGCCTCTCCTAACCCAAGCAGAAGTTAATGCATTTGTTTTTCTAAATCTTGTTTGTATTTGGCAGCCATATAAATTTGTTTAAAGTGGTTTTATTTATGTTTCTACTATGCATTTTAGTGCCTTGAGGTAATTTGTTACTAATGAAAATTAATCCTTCAATTAACTATATTCAGTTAGTTATCTGGCTTCTAAACATCTCCTCTGCCCTTCTCCCAAAATTAGCATAGCAGGTTCACCATTAGTTTTCTTCTTTTTTCTATATTTTTCTTCTGGTATAGCTGTATTTAATCTGGGCAAGAGGAAGGGTCAGGCTGTGGGGCAGTCTGACACAAGTTTTGGTAATGAAAGAATCTTTCTTAGCACAAATGTGCTTTCTGGGAGCCCTGTGGTTTCTTGTGAGATAAGGTACAAAAAGTATGTAAAGCTTGAAGAATCTTTCCTGCCTTAGCAGGTGTTTACTTATAGCAATGAGTATTAATTAATAGATTAATTAATTACACTAATTAATTAGCTTACTATAGCAGAAGAGATTCAAAGCCTGAGTGACAGACGCAAACAAGTAACAGTTCACCTTACCCTCAATGGGCACAATTTTCCTTTGTGTCCAAGCTGAATTATGTTCTTGGTGTCATTATGTTTGGTGATGCACAGCCTTCAGCCTCCCTTAGTCAGAGCAAGCAGCTGCCACTCCATGAAACCCCATGGTGAGAGCTGTGTGAAAGACCTGCTGTTGAATCCAAGTTAGGCAAGCTTCTTCAGCTGGGGTTCATTCTTTTTTTTCACTTCTTACAGATGTGAAATTCCTGTCAAATTTACTGAAAGTGCTAATCTGTCTCCAAGGAACCATAACTGATTGATGTTTCAACACTTGACTTAGGCAAATAATTGATGATGACTGTTGAGTTTTGCTTTGAGATTTGGGTTCAGTTATATGTGATACTTTTGAGATTCATCACTGAGTACAGCCAGAGGAACCAAAGCAGGAGAGAAAAGTCACACTCAAAAGCCTTGAGAATGTGGGGTTTAGTCTTGTTTCTCCTGCAAAATATCGGAGAGGTATCTCTAAGTGTTGCAAATACACAATCAGAGAGGTGGTTTGACACAGCATGAAAAGGTGGGGAGTGGCATATCAAGTCCATTTTCTTTGCATGGTAGACTATGCCAAACACCTAAGAAGAGCCATATCCATGCAGGATAAGGGTCCTTCCAAACAAATACCTCATTGCCAGCATTGATCATAAAACAACAGGTGCTGGAGGAAGTACCATATGTGATACTTCTTCCCAAACATACCAAAACTTGACAACAACAACAATCTGTGTAAACAGTTCGTAACACATCTCTGGAATGGAAGAGTCATCCAGACTTGCTGTGCCATTTTTTTGTGTGCACAGGTTGTTGGATCATTTCTTTTCCTCTAGTTTTCAGTTGTGTTGGAAGTAGAAGATGGATGTGGTCAGCTATGCAGACCATCCCCATGCACATTTGATTTACCATTTTGTTGCTACTCCACAGTTTGAGATGCTGACGGGATCATTACCCTTCCAGGGAAAAGACAGAAAGGAGACAATGGCACTCATTCTCAAGTGAGTATCAAAACTGCTTTCATTCTTCTAACTGTGAGTTAACTCTACCCTCTGGAGACTCCATAGGGCCCAAGTATTTGATGAGTAGAGAATAATTATGGGTGTAATGAACTTTCCAAAGCCTTCCAAGGTGTGAATTTAGTAAGACATGCAAAGCTGATGCCTGTGTTTAAAATTGCCTTCAGAATAAACAATAGGAAGTGAATTACTGAGAGGGCCTACAAAACAAATTTATCTAACATTTTGTGACAATCTCAGTATCCATGAAATGTGGGAAAGTCAGATTTCTGCAGGACATCCTATATTTTGTTGTTGCCAAGTTTCAGATCTTTTCCTTTGCAATGTCCCAGTCATTTAATGCTAATTGCAGACAAAAGTATCTGAAGCTCAGCTTTGCTCACTAGTGCATTTTTTAATGTAGTGGTGAATGGCCAAGACAAAAGTTTTGTTCTCTTTAAACAGCATGCAGTTGAGTATACATTTTTTTCCATTAAGTTTGATTGTTTAAATTCCTCTTGATTCCCTAATTTATTCTAGCAAACTAAAAAAGTGAAAAATTCGGTGGGAAAATTACCTATTTAGGTTGCCAAAGTTAAATGAGATTCATTAGAGCTGCTCTACCTCTAGTGATGTCAGTGGTAAAACCTTCCTTAAGATCAGCACAATAAGATCAGCTTCTCATTCTGCACTGTGCTCAGGTCGCCTTTGGTCACAGATTTCACGTGTCTGCCCATCCTGATTGCTACAGTTCAGCTGTTTCCGCCACAGTGGGATGGAAAAAAAGCTTGAAAAATCTATTTTCTTTTCAAGTGTTGTGTTCTTTCAGGGCCAAGCTGGGAATGCCACAGTTTTTGAGCATAGAAGCCCAGAGCCTGCTGCGAGCCCTCTTCAAAAGGAACCCCTCCAACAGATTAGGTACGTGTGGTTTGGTCAGCACATTCCTTATGTGCTCCCTGCCTTGTCAGGGGGTGAGTTGTACCTCTCAGCTCATCTTTTCCAGTGGTTATCCTCTTCATTACATGGCATTTTGGCATTCCTTCCCCAGAGCACAGTGAGCCTTCAGCATCACTAGAGAAATGTGTAAGGAGTACAGGCAAAGCCTTAAAATCCAAAACATGATATTAACTTGTGTTTCACTTTTTTAGTAAAGAGGGTGAGTGAACTGCCAGCTTTTATGAATGATTTAAGGTATCTGCTGTGTATCATAATACAGGGAACTGAGAAACAAGTGTGGTTTGAAACCTTATAATTTAGCTACAAATCTCAGGTTTCATCTCTCCCATTCCCAAATGCATTTCAATCCTGTCTTGCTCTGTTAGCTAGGGGAAGTCTTGCAGTAGACTTTATTCTTTATTACCCAGATAGAGCATCTCCTTTTTACTGATGTTGATGCCTTGAAGTGGCTACCATGAACAGAGGCTAGACAGAGTTAAGAGAATAAAGTGGGTATTTATTAAAGGTCTTTAATAGATACACCTTGGGCAGTGCAAAAGCCGTGCAGAGGCTACACCCAAGATGGACAATGGTCATGAGTTTTTTCAGACAGTATAAGTTTGGTCTATTTGCATATCAGGGGTTAATTCTCCAATTACAGCTTCATGTAATGAAGCCATATTCCCCCAGCTCACTCCCCACAATCCGCTTTTGTTTATGCTTTTTGGGGCCTGAGGCTGTGCTGTGTCCTTGGACCTGTGCACTAATGCAGTATGGGATTTGAAAGATATAAAAGCTAAAATCTTAAGGAATCAATGTTTCTTCACCCTTTGTTAATAATCCTGTTTAGATTGTGATAAACAAAACATATATATTGTATATATATCTTATGTCATCTGTACCTTTGTTTGTGGGTTTTATTAATAAATTAATTGCATTTGATGAGGTCATGAGCAATGCCTATGGCATGACTGCCACTGCGGGTTTTGTCATTGTCCCCCATAGGCATGTGGGGACAGCCCACTCAAGCCCAGGGCTGGTGGCAGTGGGGAGCCAGTCCTGCAGCTTGTCACTGTGGCCCGTCTCCTGCCAGGGGGGATCCCATGTGGCCCAAGAGGGAATGCCTTCCCATTTGTTTTACCCCTTGATCAAAATGGTAGCTTGTATTCTGATGTGCTGCCAACACAAGAGTAGAAAAACACATTTTCTCAGCAGGTTTTAATTGCTCTCAAGAAATTTGTTTTACACTGGAAAAAATAGAGTATTGAGATTTCTAGGTTTAATCTCTCTTCAAAAAATTAGGTGCTGCACTAAATATGAACTTTTTCCCACTCCCTACCTCTGTTTCTTTCTGCTGTTTCCTCCCTGTCTCCATCTTGTCGCAGACATCTTTCATTAAAATCCCTTCATTAGGATTTTTCCTGCTGAGAAAGTTCAGCAACAAGATGTAAACAATGGTTATCTGCTGCTGTGGAATGCCACAGGTCCACCTGTGATTGGCCCATCTTGGATGTGTATAATTAATGGCCAATCAAGGCCGAGCTATCTCGGACAGAGTGCGAGAGAGCTGCCTTTGTTATCATTCTATTCTATTCTACTCTTAGCTAGCCTGCTGAGGAAACTTTTCTTTCTATTTTTCTTTTTAGTATAGTTATAATGTAATATATATATCATAAAATAATAAATCAAGCCTTCTGAACATGGAGTCAACATTCTCATCTCTTCCCTTGTCCAAGAACCCCTGTGAACACGGTCACACCATCTCTTGGTTTTATGCTGCTCTGCACATTTTGTGGCTTCTTACCAGTTGCTATCCATCCAAATGAAGCTCCAGTGAAGTCAGTGGGAGTTTCTGGATACCAGTCCTTATAAAGCTGCTCACTAAAAATTAGTTTTAGGCAAAACAATTCTAGCTCTTATATGTTAATAATGGGGTCAGGTTTTTAAAACCTGAGGTGTATTGAAATACTGGGAAGGCTTGGAGGAGAGAGAGAGAAAGAGAGAGAGAGAAAGAAAAGAAAGAAAAGAAAGAAAAGAAAGAAAAGAAAGAAAAGAAAGAAAAGAAAGAAAAGAAAGAAAAGAAAGAAAAGAAAGAAAAGAAAGAAAAGAAAGAAAGAAAGAAAGAAAGAAAGAAAGAAAGAAAGAAAGAAAGAAAGAAAGAAAGAATAATACAAATGTCCAAGGAAATAAAATCTTAAAGGGTAACAAAAAAATAGATCTTACTATTTCAAGGATAACAGTGGAAAGCTCCTGAAGGCATTCTCTGTTTTAACTGATTGAGAATCAGCACAAAGGAAGATGGAAAGGAACCTGTTGATAACAAAAGAAGAAAAGCTTGAATAGTTGGCCTAGATACTGAACAGAACTCAGTAGATAAAAGGACTGCTTCAGCCTTGTGGATTTTAGCTTTTTCTGGGAAAGGAATAATAACATTTAAAGAAAAGTAGACCTAGACATCCCAATTTGAAAAATCTTAGGAAAATTAATGAAGCATGCTAAAATAAATGAACCATATTCTGGAACAAACACTTGATTTCAGACATTGTTTCATAAATTTGAAAATATGGAAAGTGCATTTAGTTCCAAAATTCAATTTTAAACATTTGCAAGATAAAATATGGTTTTTTTGCCATTTGATTTTGGTATCTTAACAAACAGAAGTAAAGATTGATAATGTATTCTGAAATTTTGCTTTGAAATTGTGTTTTGAAGCTTTGAATTATTAATGGAAGAAATATTAGGGTTGAAGCGAGTTAGACAAGACTGAAAAGAAACTTAGTAATCTGATTTACCTGCTTCTCTTTTTAAGTCTGATGCCCATATTAATATTTGTGACAAATTTTTAAGGAATGGAACATCTTCCTTTGGTATCCCTGGTTTTGGGCACTTTTTGTTCTTTTCTGAGCCTATTTGCTGTACAAATAGTCTGCATAGCACTGCTTTAGTAGTATTGCTCTAACAAATTTCAGATTATGGATAAGCATAATTTTAAATTCTTAAGCTAACTGAATACCCAGACAAATAAGGAGTAAGTACTCAGAAGTAAAACTTGAGGATGAAAGTGTAAGTTACATTTCCAGGAACTGGGTAAGAGACTTGCTTTAAGGCCTGGATCTCTCAGGTAGGTAAATAAATTATTTATTACTTAACATGATTATTTAAGAAATAGAAATTAAAAATTTATTTTATATAAAAACATATTATCTAACAACTCCCTGTGCTGCTGAGCAGTATGAAAGTGTTCAGGGTCCTTATAATTGAGAAGCTCAGCCAAGAAAGTTTAAAATAAAAGCATAGGCCCATAGGCTCAGAGTAAAAGCCAAGGAAATCATTACTATTTTCTTAATCCCATGTTCTCAGGTAAGATATAGTCTGCTTTGGCACATAGAAAACTTCAGGCTTTAACTTTCTAAAATTATGAGTTCAAACAGAAAACAGCTTTCACCTTTGTCAGAGTGACTGTAAGGCTTTCTCATAACCCTTAGAAAAATACCTCAAAAATTCTAGCTCACTAAAAAGATTCTGAAGCTGTAGAGACACTTAAATTTTATTATCTGAAACTGAAAAGCTAGAAACTCTTTCTGATTGATTTGAATATCCAAGTAATCAACCTTCAAGTTTCTTAGGGCTTCTTTTTCCCCCTTAATATTTCAAGGCTCGTGTTGGCAATAATGATTCAGTAATCAAAACCAATTAAAAATAAAACATTCTACTCTTACTGTTTGCAGGCACTTTTATTGCAGGCATAAAACTTAGATAATTAAGTTCTCACTTAGTAATGTGAGGCTGCTTTTATATAAATGCACTCTCTAATATGTTTAAACTGGCAAGTTGATCTGAAATAATTATTTATCTTCTCAGACCCTCATGGGACTGGATGGCACGTAAGAATATCTGCAGACAATAGCTTGATTGTGCTGATTATTCTTGACTGATAGGTCTTATTACCAAACTGAAGTTAAAAACCCCAAACTCACTAGAAGCCTTGAGGAAGGTGAAAGGTTTGTGGTCGTGCAGTGTGCTGGTGCCTGCTGTGCTTCAGATGTTTGCTGAATACCCATCTCTATGCCAGGAAATGTCCATCCCCATGCAGCAGGCCTTTACAGTCCTGACCTCTGCAGTGCTTTTCTTTTCTCCATGAAAGCACATCTCTTCTCAGTACCCCTGTAGATGTGCAGGTGGTAGATGAGTGGCTGAAACATGCTGAGCAAATCCAGAGAGACTCCACTGCAAGCACTGATGCCTGATGTCTCCCAAGGACTTTTGCAGCGGGGTCAGGGCTGTCCTCCTGGCTCCCAGAGCTGTTCCTGAATGCACCCTTGGGCCACTTCCCTCCTCCAGCTGAGGAGAGGGCCAGGCCACCTGCTGCTGCCTGCAGCCACAGTACACAGTCCAGGAAGGGCTTGTGGGCTACACCAGCAGTTCTCACGGCAGGGAAGGTCAGGGAATAAAAACTGCAGGAAGTGCTGAACCTTCTCCATAGCATAAAATCAGTTGCTAAGAATTGGAAGTGAACCACTCCTTGCAAAATGAGGCTGTTACCATCCTAATTCTCTTTAATATATTAAGCCCTTGCACTTTACAACATATTCCTTCTGTGCCAGTGCTGAGGTGGCCCCAACTGGGAAATGAAACTTTTTCAAACAAATGCCTGCCTGAACTGCATGCTTGAACTTCTTACCAAACATTGCAGCCCCCACTAAAAGAAGTAACTGAGGGTGGACTTTTTTTTCCTAGTCCTTATTTCTATAGGTTTGTGGGAAAAGGAATGACAACAGTAGCAAAAATTGTGTCTTTCAAATAGATGATCTGAAAAAAAGCATGTCATTCTCAGTACACAATGACATATCCATTAGGCTAAGCAAGAGAGAAAACAGAAGCAGTGGGAAAGGGGCAGAGCAGAGAAAATTGAATGCATTAACAATTATCCTCAGTCTAGTTTATGCTACTTACAGTGTCTTACAGTGTCTGAGTATTTATCCCAGTCCTGCAAAATCAGTTTGGCACTTGGGTTTCCTCCTGATGTGGTAAAGGACATTTACTGCACGTTGCAGTTTCCAGTTGCCACCACTGAACTCAAAGCACTTTTCACAGATAATTCTTTTCTGAAGATTTGCTTAATGTAATTCTCTTCAGAGTAACTCTGTTGGTTTTGTCTTTCTGTTGGCACTGATAAAATCAAAAGGAATCTGCCAAGGGAATCTTGCAGACTTCAGAGTGTGCATTGAACAAAAATATGCTAGGGAAGTAATAGAACAAGTCCTATTCTAAGACTTCTTTTCTTGTTCAGTACCCAAGGACCACAACTGCCTAGGGGCATGTAAGAACAGGATAAACATATGTTGCTTCACCCAAATTTTCTCCTACCCCCTTCCTGCTTTAAGGTCAAGCAAGGGGTTTCCTGAGACTCTTGTGGTTTGTCGATGAAGTAATCTTCAACAAATTTCTTTTCAACAGACTTTCCTGGCCTCCTCATGAACCCATATAAGTATTTTGCACCACATCATCTTTTCCAAGTAATTCCACATCACACAACTGTCTGTTTCCTGAGGAAACATCTCCAGGTTCTTCTGAACCTCATTCCTGTTGGCATCATTTAGTGATCTGTTTTATACTTGCTCGGTCATCTGTTCCCAGGCTGAAAAGTCCTGACTTACTCAGTCATTCCATAACATTCTTTGTTGGCCTTCTTTGATTTTTCCTAACTTTAATCAGTGTACCATTTTACAGGGGAGTGTGTCAGCTACAATCCATACTGTTGCAGAAATGCTACAGACTTACACAGTGACAGTGCAATGATGTTGTCACTTTTGTCCTCTTTTTCTAAGGTTTGATTTCATGTTGTGTTTGCCTAGAAATGTCTGTCTGTCATAACTCACAGACCCCTCACTGGGGCTGATCACCTCTGAGCACATAATTTTGTATTGCAGGCTAGGATTGTTCATCCTCATGTGCATCACTTGTGTTTGCCTGTAGTGAAAGATTACTGGGATGGGGAATTAATCAGGAGATCATCCCTCTTTGCTGTTTGCCAGCAGGCCTGACAGCAATCCTGCATGTTATGTTTACAAAGTGTTTGCTTCCCGTATCCACTCATCAGTGAATGTTAAGCAGGTTGTAGGGAGCAGTTCCTGATCATTGCATTTTGACAAACACTGATAACAGTCTTGTACACAAGGAGAGCAGACATCACATTTTACCAAAGCTTCAGTTGACAAGGCCTTTGTAAAGCTGCTTGTAATGTTGATCTTCCCAAAGTACAAATATTGTATAAAAAGCTGAGTCCACTGAGGTGCTGAGTGCCCCTTGCAAGGTGCTTAGGAATCCCAAATCCTCTTGGTAATCAAAGTTGCTCAGCATGCTTGAGAAGAAGTAGGCTGGGTATCCTTCAGGAACTGACTCCAGAATTGCAGTGCAAAGCCTTTGCTTCCAGAGTTTAATTCTCCTTGAAATTAAAGTAAAAGGTGCTAATAATAAGGTCAAATCCCCACAAATGGCATTCTAAATCCTCTCTGACAGTTCTTTTAATTATTACTGAGTACCAGTTTGGTTCTGTGACAGCACTGAAGCAAATAAATTGAGCTAAAGGAATAAAAATTCAATATTCAGTGAAAACTTAAGGCAAAAGTAATGAAGGAATTAGATTCATTATCAGATCTCAGAAGACTTTCCCAAAATTCCCTACAGTAATGTAACAGAAATTTAGTAGTGAAGGAAACATAACACTGAGTGATGATTTTGGTACTCTTTGGTACTGTGAAGAGGGGGAACCTAAAACCCTAGCTTACCTCAAATCATTTTGGAGCCTTTTGGCATTTTGAGTCTATACTTGCCTGTAGTGCAGCTTTCTGTGCCAGTGGAGAACAGTAGCTAGTCAAGATTTGAAAGTCAGTGTGGATAGAAAAGCTGCCACTTTTTGTGGAGCCTTGCCAGAGTATCGGGATACCCTGGGGCCTTTCCTGACCTTGCTGATGCAGGCACTCTGCTGTGGCTAAAATCCGCTGCCTCACCCAAAGCCTCAGTTAGAGAAAAGTAAAAGACCCTTGGAATCAGAGTCTCATTAATGAAGTACCCTTGTCTGTATCTATGGCACTTTATATGTGATGGCACTTGCACCAATCAGAGTTTCTTGACTAGAATTGTTTAGATGGGGACTCTCACTTTGTCAGAAGAAAAGTGGGGATGGGGAGGGAGAGTGGAGAAGAGACATCATGCAGCTCTCTTATAAGCATGACTTAATTTTGATTCTTTCATTCTCACCTCAGGTGCTGGATTTGATGGAGTGGAAGAAATTAAGCGTCACCCTTTCTTTGTTACTATAGACTGGAATGTAAGTGGAGCAGCATTATTTTATTTTTGGCTACATTTTTTGAAGACAAACTGCCATGCTTAGGAAAAGGATTACTTTTTCTATTATAGAGAGCATAACACAGAGGAGTTAGAGCTTTTTCAGTGGGTGCCTCTGTCTCTCTTGCATGCATGTTGGCACCAGTACTCAAAATTGGAGCAGTTGATCAAATTAAACATGATTCAAATAAGACATGTCAGATATGATTAACAGAAAGGTAAACACGGATTTATTTTATTGCTATCAGCTACAGCTCATAAAGGTGGTGGTGCAGGTTATCTGAGTATTTGATTTAGACTCTTAAGAGGTTAAATCTCACAATTTCAACATCATAATTGTTCAAATTAACTTATTCTTAGACAAACCTGAAGGCAAATATTTTTCATTCTTGATCTGGACATTTGCCGGTGCACCAGAGCTGCTGTTTGCCACATCCCCTAGCATTTTCTAGTTTAATTTTATCTAACTTGTGTTATGGTATTTTTGTGTCTCTTCAGTATTCAATGCATTCACTCACAAGTGCTAGTACAACAGGTAACATTGATGCAGTTCTTACCAGAAATTCTGGTAAAACTGTGTGAATCTATGTGGCAGAGCCATTCTCAAACTGCTGCCCAGGACTTTGCAGTAAAGCTAATTTCTCTGTGAGAGAACACTTTGTGGTCCCAGGTAGCCTTTGAAAGGCCCACAAACCCATTTATTTTCAAAAAACTCATTACAAAAATCTAATTTGGGTTGCATGTTGAAAAGTTGTCATGACTCAAACATATTAGAACATAATAAATGAAGGTGGGTTTTGAGACTTTCCTCTATAGTCTAGCTGACTTTTAGAGCCATTAAATATGTTGTGAAGTCTGTCTTTCCTTCCTTTTCTGTTTCTTAATAATGATGAGATTCTGTGTGAAAACTTTACATTTATGAAAAGAGTAAGGGAAAATTTAAAAAATAGAGAATCCAAAGATTTGGGTGTTGATTATGATAATTATTAAACACTAATATTAGTATCAATAACAATAATATTATTTTCTGTATTCCCTCAATATCTCCACAGTCCTCAGCTTTGCAATCAAAATATAAGTCAGATAACTACATCTTGATGTAATAAGAAGCACTATAACAGTGAGAGGGTTTTTCTTCTGTGTTTGCTAGGGGAGCAGCTCACTAACTCATCATAAATAAATGAGGCTCTGTATCTTGGAAAGGTTTTCAGAAAAGTCACTTCTGTCCCATGAGAATACTCAAGACCACCTTCTGTCATGATAATTGGTGATTGTTTCAAGCTCTGTTCTTTAGGGAACAATTTCATGCCTGTCCTAAGGAAACTCTACTGTCCTCCATCATTTGAAAAAGCTCTTATGGACAGGAAAATATCTACCACGAAGAAGATAGGTATGCTTGAACATGCCTTGGGGCTAGAGAGGAAGGTGGATTTAATTGCCTTTTGATGTGTTATCCAGGCCTCTAACTCTGCAGTGAAATATAGCTGTTAAAATCCATTTTAATCCAACATAATTAGTGCTTATTGCACTCTCTCGGAGACAGATCACTATTACACCGATCAGCTATCATCTTTGCAATATATTTCCTCATTTTATTCTAATTTTGTAATCACTCAAGGAGATCTTGGGAGGCTTATCTTGTTCCAGAAGCTGCAGTACTGTCTGTATTTCTGAGCAGTGTGAGCCTGGCCCTGAGCTGAAGCCAGAACTTTGACTCTCAGTAATCATCCAGCCAGTTGTTAACATGTTGTCCATGTGCAGAAACAGAACAGGGTCATAGAACAGAAATGGATCAGACATAGATGTTTCTATCTATAGCACTGATCTCTGTACAGCTGGAGGAAAAGAGTCCCTGGTGCCCTCATTTTGTTCTCCCATAACGTATACAGAATCTCCCACATCAGTTTGCAGAGATTCAGCAAACAGCACTGTTGAGATGGAACAGAAATGATGATTTACTTTATGCCTTGGCAATATAAAGACCTCAGAGAGCAAGAGGCAAGCTCTTTTGGAGAACTTCTGTGGTACCTTAGCAGCTGTGATAGACAGGACTGCTGTGACTGAGAGCACAGAAAATTTCAGCAATTGTAGTAAAACAATCCTCCATCTAAAGCCCCCTTATGATGAAGGGTAAGAATGGCTTAGTGTCTCCTAGAAATGCAGTGTGAAACAGGTTTACTTTTAAGCATCATTTTTCCTACAAGAGCAACATAATAACCATGAACAAAGCACCAAGTTGCATCATCTAATTTTAAAGAGAGATTCAAAACAGAAATGAGTTAGCTTTTTCCTTCTAAGTCATATGTGATGCTAGAACTGCAAATGGAACCCTGTGACTCAGGCTTTCCTTTCACAGTATTTTCAGAGCTGTTCCCTTGGGGTTTGGATTGGAGCTGGTTATTTTCTCTGTCCCTGAAGTGTGTACCTGTTGGGGCAATCAGTTCCCATCCTTTACTGTCTTCAAACAGACACAAGCAGATCCAATGTCTGCTTTGGATGAACACCCAGTGGCAATCGCACACACAGTGCAGGAACAGTCCCTGTCACCATGCTGCAGATGCTGCTGGTGCCATGTGACCACTGCATGCAGAGGCACCAAGGGCAATCCTGGAAAACATCCATGTGGCTAGGGAATCCTTCTCCTCCTGGCCTTCCCCAGAAGCCATTCCCATGTTCCAGGGTGGCATCCTTCAGCAAAATTGCCAGCCACTTTAGGTTTAACTTCTGGCTAACTTCAGCACTAAATGAACTGTGGACAATCTGACACAGAATTTTTTGCCCAGACTTAAATGGTGGCATGAGACTTTCTAAGACTCACATTTTTACAGCTGTTACACTGTAACAAAGCCCTAAGTTCCCACTTTCCAGAGTGAAAAATAGCTGGAGGTTTCTGCAACTATCAGTCTTGCTGCTCCGAGGCATTTAACAGGCACCATGACGTAAATTCAATAGATCTGTTGTTAAATGAATGGACTGTCCTTCATGATCAAGGCTGGGATGCTCAGGAGAGAGATTAGATGTCCAGCTCCTTGACAGTTTTACCTGCTTATTAACCTTGCACCTCATTTTCTTCTTAAGACAAGCAGACCCAAAATGAGTTGACCTCAAATAATTTAAGTCATTGGCTCTGAGAAAGCACAGTCTGGTTCCTGATTTTTTTACTACTCTTTCTTCTTTCCAGACAATGCATAATGAATTTCTGCTTTTCATTGAAAATGGAAGATGAAATCCCTTTTTGCAGACTCCTGTCGGAGGAGTGGGCTATAAACAGTGGTTTTTGTTTGGATGACAGACTAAATTGGAACTAGAGCAAATGACATGCTTGAAAAGGATTTGTCAAATGCAACTGAGGAAAGGAGTGGGAAGAAAGTGGCTTCCAGTTCTTGTTCCTTTAATATTAATCAGAGATCAAACTGAACTGAAACTGTGAATTATTTAATTGCCGATTTCACCAACAGCAAAACATTAATCCTAGGATCTGAATTCTGCTAGCTTTCTGTCATTTGCAGGCAATAACACTGAGTCATTAATCTAGGAGAGGACAAGAATTTCAGAATGTAGTTCATCCTTTTGTCTACTTATTGGATTTGCCATGACAGGTATATGTATCAAGGGAGTTCTCACGCTACAAGTGCACCACTGTGGAGGGCAGCATCTTTCTATTTCTAGAAGGTGTCTAAGGAATAACTCAATGCTTCATCAAAGAAACTCAGTTGAGGAAATGACTAAATAGTTTTTAATGAAATTAGACCATTTTCTTTTTCTTGATATTTGCCAGGGACACGTACAGAGCATTTACATCTCTGGGGTTTTTAGGAGTGTGTTTTTTTAAAGATGATGAAAAATTAACTACTTATAAATAAAAGGAGAAGGAAACACAGTGTTGCATTTTATTTTATTACTAGTCTTTCTTGTGTATTACTTAAGTTCCAGCTGAGGAGGTGTTCAGATGAAGATCATGCTAGAGATGTGGCGATATATTTTTAGAAAAGGTCAGTGGCACCCGGATAAAAATTAGTTATTTCAAATAAAAGTGTTTTTGTCTGAAATCAGAAGGAAAGTCAGTAGAAGCTTGTAGTTTCTTAAACTGCTATAGAAATGGTTTCTAGTTAATTCACAGGTGCTTATTATGAAAGTCTCAGGAGGACATGAGGGGTTGATAAGTAGTCAGGAGCATGGATATGTATCCAGGTGTGAATATCTAAGTCAGTGTTTTCTTGGAGCCCATCTGCCTTGTTCTGTGGATTATGCACTCCCTCAGCATAGCCTCTGGATCCCACAACACTGTGTGTTCTACAGTGATTCTTCATACCTGTCAGTCACATTTTTCTGTGCTGAGTTAATGCAGTTTAAACTGTGGCCAGTTTAAAAAAAAATGGTGATGGAATGTGGGAGCTTTTTCTTTACTGGGAAAGAGAAATAAATAGTATTCTCATAAAAACATTAAGGGCTAAGGAGTTGAGTTCTCCTTTATGGATGTGGAAACAATGTGGAAGAAAAAAAATCCTCAGCTTCTTATACCTGTGCAAGACAACGAACATGTAATGTATAATGTATAATTTCAGCCTGATATTTAAATGCTCCAGTTATCACTATGATACACAAATTCTATTTTAAATAGGAACAATAGTAATAGGATGCCCCAAATAAAAATTGCCTAATAAGATCCCCCAAAAGAAAAAATTGGATATCAAAACTGGAATTTAAACCAGGAAAACTGGGACCCTGTTCCCATTTAAACAGGTGATGGAACTCACTGTAACTTTTGCACACAGTACTAGGATTACCATGACTTAGAAAGTACATAACTGCTTAAACTTCACCAAAAGTTATGGACAGCCTGAAGAAATGGTTGAAGGCAAGAACTGAAATTTAGTTTGCTGTCATTTCCCACTCTGGTTGGTTTTTGCCAGAAGAAGTCACAGTCAAGATACAGTATCCCTGAATAATTTGGGGACTGTGGTAAGGACATTCTCATACATGTCCTAAAATTAGAAATATTCTTGAAACATCCAGAAGGATCTCAAATCCTCCAGGAGATTCTCTATGTGTATATGAAGCAATGGCTGTGATTCTTACTATTTGTTTAGATCAGCTTGTGCCACATTGAGTTTTGCAGCCTACAGGATGCAGGTTTTTAAAGGACGAGGTGCTCTGCCTGCAGCAGCCTTTGTGTTAAATTGTGTTGGGCTGCTCTGTGGTTTAGGGATTTGGCTTGGGTGGCTCACTCAGAGAACTGGAGCCAGTGTGGGATGGAGAAGTCCATAGACTCTGCTTTTCCTCGTCCTCAATGATTTCTTTTAGGTACCCTATGCAAGAGCTTGGGGAAAAAATGTTTTAGGCAGCTTACCTCTTGCTGTTCTGTTGTCTAATTTCTATCACAAGTGGGTAAGGACATGGAAAAGGGAGTCATCAGGGTTGTGCTCAAGGGGAGTGCCTTTCACTCACACAGGCAACTTCTTTGTTTCCATCCCCTCCCAGAAAGCAAATTTGTGAGTATAAATCTTTTGATGGCGTGTGACTCACGATGAATCTTAAATCCTTCCCTAGTAGTGGAGGATGTGGGTTAGGGATTCAAAATACAAATGTAGCTCCAGCAGCACTTAAGAAACTACAGATGGGGGAAGGAATTAAGAGGCCAGAGAGAATATGGTTACGATAATGAAAACAGAGTGCAATTCCTGAATGATGTACAGCTCTGAAGCATTTTCCAATTTTTGGACCTCACAGGATGACCTGTGCAGTTAATTCCGTGAAGAAGCATGTGCGTGTGACCCTATTGCTTTCTGCAGTAGTGAATTAAGACAAATAAAAGGGAGCTGGGAAGTAAATAGCTTTCTCAAGGTGAAATCCTAGCAACAGAAAACCTTCAGTAGGTGCTGAGTTCTCTTGTAAAGTTCTGTGCAGGCAGAAAAAGATGTATGTTAATTACTAGGTTGATACTGTTCAGCTGATGAGTGACACTTCCTGCATAAGATTGCAATTGGCTTTTAATTATTTGGAAGACTGGCTTTCCATTGTGGCTCACAGCAGTTATTCATCTCCTTTCCTCTCTGAAGACATGGAGCAGTTTTACGCAAGCAGGAACTTTTTATGGTGAAATGGCCATTAATTATTGCAGAGTCATTTTCAACCTCACTGTTTCACTTTCCCAAGGAATCATAACTCAACCGCAGATATATCCTTTATGTTAAGGCTTATGTTAAGGCTAATACTATGCTACAGAATGTTCTCCTTCAAGAACCTTTATTTATGCAAAATCATGAACCTTTATGCAAAATCAAATTCAAACTATGGTGATGGGTATATATCTTAGATTTGACCACATGCTTTGTATTAAAGAAGTTAATTCCCCAGAAAATTCACAGTTAAAAAGAATCTTCCTGCATGCAGGGAGCTGGAAAAGCATTTAGAAATATCCATTAAACATTTTGAAAAATCAGCTCATTAGGAAGTTGTTTTAAGAGCTAACCTAAAAATACATATTGCAAACAGTCATAAAGTTGAACTCTCCAGTTCTTATCAAGACTTGAAAGTTTGCATTAAATGTTGCATTTATGTTCAGACATGTTAATTATGGGGAACTGTCTGTGGCAATTAATTCAGCCTTTGAAACCTGAGAACAAAAGCTTTGCTAGAAAGGAGATGCTGTCTAGGGACTGCAACACGGGGCAGGGAGTCAAACTGGAGCTCTGTTCCCCATGCTGCCATCAGCATGATGTTTGGTTTTGGCCATTTCAGGCAGAGACAATGCAGAGATGGCTGAAATCAGTAGGGCTCTTTCCATTCACCTCTACAAGCTTTGGATCAGATCCAGACATCCTTACCTCAGTGTGCATGTCTGTGTGTGTATGAATGCTTGAAATGGAGCACGGGGTAGCAATTTCTTAAAAATCTCTGAGAATGAGTAGAAAGGCCACGAAGTCCCTCATAACAAAGGCAGGATGTATTGGGATGAACTTGTGGTGCGTGTTACCTAGGTGATCCCCTACATGACTCCTCAGTCAGCAGCAGAAACTCATACACCTAGCAGTAGTTACCTGTTATATACCTTCCTGTCTTTTGTTTTTTGTTTTGTTTCTCACTTCAAGCCACACATAGAGCTTCAGTGTGGTTCCCCACCCATCCACAGTGCTTGCTCCCTAGCATTTTTGATGAGAATTTCATGTAATCATCAGCTGTAAACCCCTTTCCCTTTTACCCGATATGCTGAAAGAACAAGTCTCTTGTTTAGGTTGTAAGGACCAGGCAGCCAAGTCTGTTGCTCAGCTCAATCTGGCAGCACATCAAACACATTTCTGGTTCTTGACAAATAGCAAATGCTAAAGCAGTCATGGCTTCCTAGCAATTCTTTGTGCTGGTTGCCATTACTGTGCTGCTGAAGTTCCCCTGCTTCCTGCTCTTACCATTGCACATTCCAGTCCTGCCCTTAGACCGCTGAATTTCCAGATGCCCCAGCCTGAAGTACTGTTCCAGCCTTTGGGCTAAATTTTTTGCCAGGAACATTTGTGTTTATATTCAGGATTCCAGCAGCTGAAATGTGTGGGGACCATCCAGGGCACAGATTTTAAGCCAAGTGATAAAGCAAGAGCCAGAACCACGGCTTCATCATCCTTGTCTGTTTGTCCTGCAAGGATGGCATTGAGCTGAGGGAGGACACCCTAAAGAATGCTGAGAGTGTGCACAGCAATGCTGATGGTGGTCTGTTTTTCTCCCTGTAGAAACTGTACAGAAAAGAAATCAAGCCACCTTTCAAGCCCGCAGTGGGGCGGCCAGAAGACACCTTTCATTTTGACCCAGAGTTCACATCTCGGACCCCTACAGGTTAGTAAGGTGGCACGTGGCTAATATATCTTTTCAGTTGGTAAATGCATTCTTCCTTTCCCCTCTCTAGTCCAACACAGTCTAAAAGTCTGATCACCTGTGGCATTACAGGGTTTTGCCATATCCAGCAGGAAGCAACAACTGGCTTTGTTTTTCCACCAAAAAAAGCTCATAAGTATTTCACCAGCTTCATATTAACTTGTCTTCAGGAAAAACAGATTTCACATTTTTAAAGGAAAAAATAACTATTGTTTTGCTATTTTATTACTCATTTTTGCTTACACTAGCTGAATTTAACTGTTTTAAATTACCTTGGCTTCAAAGAACTTTGTATCTTTGCAAGCTAGTATGTAATTATGTATTGCATAGATGTTTTATTTAATTATGACATCTCACAGACTCTGGACTATTGGAAGTTAATGTGTGGTTAAAAGAAATGAAGAATCATCAAATTCTCAGGTCACCAGAGTTATGCCAACAGGAAATTTGGCCCACAATATTTGGGAAATGCTTGCAGATAGAATATTGTTCCTGTAACTTCTATTTCCTAACAGAAATACCATGTTTTGTACACTATATATGTGAAGGTGACTGTTGCATAAAATTCAATCTTTCCACTATTTTAAGTGGAAAGCAAGAACATCAATAATGTCAGAGTGGTAATCCCACTTGTTATGGTGCCTCCTCCTAGACATGAGTAAGTTACATTACATTTCTGCCTCTGATGTACCTGTGTAAAGAAGTACCTGTTTATACTTTCTAAAGTGTAAAAATTGAATTAGTTGTTATATGTAAAACACTTTGAAGGTGGTAAGCACTGTAATTGTCACATAGTGTCATGGTAATAAGAAAGTATAAGGTCTCAAGCTTCAATCCTCAAATTGCCCCAGAACTGTTACAGTGAGAGGGAAAGATCTGAGCTTTCATAATGAAAACACCTACATTATAACATGTGAATCAGAGCTGAGGCTTTCTGCAGTTTTTTTTCAGGCTTATCATGACCTGCACCATTTTTTCTTAAAACTAGCTCAAAATTCTATTCAAAGCCTGGCTCAGATTTCCTTTCATGGGGTTTGAAATAACGGTATCTAATCCTAATCTTTCCTCAGTCAGTTGCTTTTTTTTTTTTTTTTTTTAAGGATGTGCTGATTTTTACAAACTATGAAAATACTACATTCTTGTTTTTTCAACTGGAACATCCACCTGTCTCCAGTATATGTTAGTCATGTTCGGATATTCCTATTCCACTGCCTAGAAACATGATCTTTGGTTTCCAGACATTTCACACATCTGATTTTAGCTGTAATTTAGGTTTCAGAAGCACTAATTTCTCTGAAATATTTGAGACTGCAAATTAGTCTGGTCTTCAGGGATGTGTGCTCTGGTGCTGCCATGGGAAGTTTCACTGATGTGCAAAGAAGCATTAAAAGTTTGGATTGCTTTGGAAGTTAAAACTTCATTGCTTTTACTGATGCCTGGGGCTATATTTTACACTCTACATGTTACTACTGTTGCCTAATTAAATTTGTTATTTGTTATTTCCTACAAGACACTGACTTGGAAGGTTTGTTTTGGGGTGGTGGCAGGGGTGGGGAGATGGCTGGCCTCAATTCTGCTTTGGGCTACCATGGATAGTGGCTTGAGAATCAAATTTCAAAATAGATGTAATTGGAAGTGTGAATCCATTTACACTTTCAGAATGATGGAAAAGCCCTGGCAGACTGGCAGAATACTTTGCAGCCCCTGACTGTTGACTGGTTGGGTCAAACAAATTGGGAAGAGTATCACAGATGTGTGCTCACGTTGCCAATGGAATAGAGCAATACCCTTTTTTTTTTAAATTTTATTTTGTCTATCAGGACAAAATAAAACTAACAAACAAACTAATCCTGTTACTGAGAACATCCTCAGAGAGAAAACATAATAATTCCTGCTTCATGATCTTGCAGTTGTGTTTTAATGAAGTTGTCAATCACTATTTTACACTGTCTTTATGAATGAGTTCTCCTGTCTGAAAGCAGGTTTATGTCAAAATTTTGGATACAGTAAATCTTGTCAGTCCCGTGATTTGCTGTACCTCAAAAACTTCCTTTACCCTGGAGGTTGAAATCACATTCTGTGGATTCTTGACTTCAGATCTAAGTGTGGCAAAGATGTGGTTTCTGCCACTGACAGATCATTTATGTGAGTATAGTTTCACATCACTTTTTCTCAGAGATTCGTCCAAGTTGGAGTTGCTGGTTTTGGCCATTTGCTTCCTAAATTCGCCACTGTGACCCCACATCTCATTTGTGGTGACTCAGCTCCTTAAAAGCAGCTGGAGGCTGAAGCAGTCTAGGTTAGAAATGGTGGTTTGAACAATGATCAAACCAAGATCATTCTTGTGACCCAACTTAGACTTCACTCCACAAATGTTTGTACTGTTGTAATTGATGGGACAGCAGGCTGTAACCAGCAGGGATGTTTTAGACTGGCTTTACTGCTGAAAAAAAGTATTTAAAATTTCACCTGAAATATCTAAATATCCTCCTTTGCAAATAAGATGTTTGCTAACCCCAGTATAACATGATGAATGAAATAACTTAAGAGTTATGAAGCCTTTGAAACCCTTAACCTTAGGTGCTCTAGTGGAACAAAGCATTATTACTTTTCACAGGAAGAAAGATACCCATTAAATAAGATTGGTGCTTGTAAGTGGATCTAATTCAGATATATGAAATTATTCTGATTTATAAGGCCTAGAAAAATGATTTAGATTTCTGAGCTATCGTTAATTACCATGATTTATGCATAATTTTGCACTTAGCAGAAATGTTTTAATGGGCAAATCAGTTGTTGGTGATGAATATTTGATAGTGAACAGCAAATCATCAATAGTTCCTCTGCAGTATTTGCTGAAGCAATTGGCAGTGAATTATGAAGGAACAGTTTTTTTAAACAGAGCTGACCTACCACTTTAGTTTTAGAGCTGGATCACAGCTTTTCTGAGGTTCAGAAGTGTTCAGATGTGAATTATTGTCATTCCTTTTTTTTTAAACAAACGTTCTTTCCTCTTAATTAATCCCTCGTGTAAGAATCCCTGCTATGGATATGCCCCAGTAGAAGTATCCAGTGATGCAAGAGGTCTGGTGTGATTCATCCACGTATTTGCAAGGAGCGTGCCCGTCAAAAACACTGAGATAAACAAAAAACCCACGTCATTTTACCAAAAGACAATCTTCTCCGTCTGAACTCTGCTTGCTGTGCAATAATAGCACACTGACTCCTGACTCCTGCCAAAGCTGAGGCAGCTTTGTGATGAGAAATGGAATTAGCTGAAGTCTCAGTTTTGTTTATTCCCAAGTAGATATATATTGGTTTTATCAAATTCTGACTTCAGTTCCTCTATTCATTTAACCAGTAGATTTATACAGGATGTGTGCACACTAAGAAGTACACATTCTTACATATTTTCAGGGCCTCAAGCAGGTGAGTCAGATATAAAGCTCAGTGGGGATGTATTTTCTTTAGATAGCTGGGTATTTACACACTTTACTACAAGGAAATAGTTTTCTAAAGGAAGTGTAACTCTGTAACTTTGTCAGTAAATGACATGGTGCATTGGAGGAAATGTGAAGGGAAAAAGAGAAAAAAAAACCCACAAGCCCCCTCCAAAAAACCAAATAAAAAGTTAGCAAATTTTAGTAATATAGGTTCTATAATACCCAGCCTGTTGCCAAGGGATGGTTTACAAAGTGATTCTTCTAGCTGAGAAAAATACCCAGGATAAAACATACACTGGGGAGAAAGATCTCTTTAAAGCTTTTCAGAATTTTAATTGAAGCACAGCTCTACTTGCTTCGTCATGCTACTTCTCTCACTGAGCAGTGGTGCAGGTACAAAGAACTGCTCTCAGCTTATTGCCTACCAAAGGTAGAATTTCTAATTCAGGATTTTTTGAACTTTAGCTGTTCCTTTCCTCCTTTTGCCATATCAGAGGAAGGATGGGGAGAAAATCTCCATGAAGGTTAGTTAAAAGAATCCTTGTTGTTTTTTCTACCTGAAAGTCAACCCCTGTCTTCCCTGGAGTAGGTTCCAGCTCCTAAAGCTGCTCCAGAAGATTCCTATCAGGCCACTACTGGAGTATAGTGATTTTACACTGGTTTCATGCATTCTCTATATTCTCCCGACGCACACAATTTTCCACTTCATCCTTTGTAATTTCTGTAGTTAAGGTGAGCTGCAAAGGACAGATAAAGCAGTCTGTAGCTTTTTTCCACTCCCTGGAGAACCTCTGATAAGCCCTGCAAGATGCCCTGCCCTGAGTCTCCTGTCTCTCACTGAGCCTCTCTGCCCTGTGCCTTCTCTCTCTCTGTGCACTCTTGGCACAGGCAGTACTAATAATGCCCTGTGAAAAAATCCTGTATCCAAGAGGAGACATCCTTGCAAACAATACCCCTGCACTGTTCAAACCCAGAGGAAAGGAATGGAGAAGGCACACCAGAGCCTCGACATGGAGATGCATTATATTCCCCTGTGTGTGCCAGTTTATCAGATCTGCTATTGACTGCCAGGGGTGACTTTATCTCTTGTAGTGCCGTGCTCTTCCTTTCTGTTCTTCTGTGCAGCTCATGAGGCCATTTTCTTCCTTCTCCTACAGATTCCCCAGGTGTTCCTCCAAGTGCCAATGCTCATCATCTTTTCAGAGGGTTCAGCTTTGTTGCCTCTAACTTGGTGCAGGAGCCTGCACAGCAAGATGTGCACAAAATCACTGTTCACCCAATTGTGCAGGTACTGATGCTGGTTTCATTTCACATCTGATGTGCACTTACGTATGTGTGTATTTAAACTGCCTAATGTTCTCACTGGTATTTCACAGCTACCCAGTGTAGGAAGGAGGTGTTTTACATGCAGCACGTAGGTGTTGGAAAATGAGATTTTTTTTGCAAAGGCTTTTATGTATAAAACGTTCCTCACCACCTTTGCAAAGGAAATAGGGACTGCTCTTTGTCACAACTAAAATGAAAAGTACTTCTCAATACCTGAAACAGGATTCCAGTTGTGCATGCAGGGCAGGTAATGAAATATTGTTTTTTCACTGAATGCATTTCATTCCCAACAGTTTTGCCTTGGATTATATGATCCAGTCTGTGCTGGCAAAGGGGTTTGATGAACTATTGCTATAGGCTCCCAGAGACACTGAGCCCAGGCTCCTGGGTGTAAGAGGCCACTGTACTCCTGTTCTGTTGAACAAAAGCCTGGATGTACTCACCTAAACCAGGGTGCTTGATGGGGGAACATGCCAGACACTTGCTTCTTTGCTGCAATTCCCCTTAAAAAATCTATCCATTTGTACTTTAAATCAGAAATAAATTGCTACAAAACGTTCGATAGATCAAAGAGGAAGGGACCAGGGAGAAAGAACAGGGCTGCTTAACACGCAGCCAATTTTCTCACTAAGAAAAAGCTCCCTCTGCTACCCACAGCCACAGGTGTACATGCCTCAAGGAGGGCAGACCCTCTCTGTGGTTTTCATAGGTTTTCATCTCTTTTTTAATTATTTACAGTGGAATGTGTCCTACTCTTAAAGATGCTCTTATGGCACAGTAAGTGAAATGTTACCCAAGCCATTACATCTCAGAAATGTTATATATATTCCTGTGATTTGCTTTGTAAAAATGTATTGGATATTGACATATGCAGATCTTAAAATTTAGCAGGTTCTGTGTGGACTTCGCTGGCAAGGCTATATTTTTAGAGAGAAGATTCTGGAGGATTTTTAGAGGTGCTGGTTGTTTCTTGAGTCCTGGGATGGAATTTTCAGCAGAGCCTCAGATTTGGGGTTCACCATTGAACCGGTCTACCTGCTCAGACATTTTCCAAAGAGCATATGAATAAATGGCTTAAAATATTAACTTCTGTCTCATAAAGAAACTGCAGATGAACATATTCTAGACAGGACTTCCAATGATCTGGAGGCACTCCTCATATATGGAGTATCTCTCTTGAACACTGTGAAACTATTAGTATTTTATATGTTATCTGCCCCTGTTCTGTAATTAGAAATCAGTTTATATTGTCAAGATATGTGAGTTTGTCAGGAGATTTGGGCCCACAGTTTCCTATGAATTTCTAATATATGGTGATTTTCTGCATTCCAAAAATAGTTTAGAAAATCACAGCAGTTTTGCCACTACTTCTACAGACAATTCCATCTTACAGACTGGAAGAAGGTAGAAAGGGAACAGACACATTTACTTGTTTACATAAAGAGCTTCAGAATTTTTTAACTGGATTTACAAAAGCTGCTAAGGACAAGAGAGCTCTGTGAAGGAGAGGAGATCAAGGATCTCCTTCAAGAGGAGGCTAGTCCTTGCCTTTATATACCCATGTCCTGATTACCTTGTTTCTTTTGTCTCCCTGTAGCAGTTGCATGGGAACAACATTCACTTTACTGATGGATACGAGATCAAGGAGGACATAGGAATTGGCTCCTATTCTGTGTGCAAGAGATGTGTTCATAAAGCTACAGAAACAGAGTTTGCAGTGAAGGTAAGAAAGCCTCTGGTAAATGCCAGAAATGCAGCTGAGGCTGCTCTGCTTCTGGATTTTTTTGTTGGCTTATTTCTTGTTGCTGGGTGTTGCTTGGGATTTTATTCTGTTTTGTAAGATGGCAGGTTTCATGATAAGTCTTCCCTATTTTTCACACTTCAATCCCACCACGTAGAATTCTTCAATGGAAAAACCCTTTGCTGTCTTGCATGGAAATCCAGTTAATCACTTCAGCCATGCTCCTTGCAAACTGAATAAGATTTTTAACATACCCTAGACTGAATCATCATAATTTTAAAAAATTGCATATAAAATTATTGCAAATTTGAAACATTATTTATTCTTCTTTCTTACATTACTTAGATCTGAGCTTCTTGTAATTAGAGAGATTTTTCAATGAAAACCATGATTACCTAGAAAAACTCAGAATTCCCTTTGTCTTCTTCACATTCAAAATGAATGCTATCAAAATGAGTGAAAGTCAGTCTTCAGCAGAGATTTAAAATATTGATTTAGTTGGGCATTGAGGAAAGTCAGTGAACTTCAGACTTGGTCAAGGAACATTGCATAGAACACAGTCACTTTGTGGTATTTTTGGGGTCCTGCCTTGTAGGGAGGAAAGATGAATCTGACTCCATGTTCTTAGAAGGATGATATGATATGATATGATATGATATGATATGATATTATATGATATTATATTTATTATGCTCTACTAAACTGTACTGATGAATAGAGAAAAGACACTTACAGAAGGTTTAACAAGATACTAAAGAAAAACTCGTGACCTCTTTCAGAGTCCCAACACAGCTGGACAGTGATTGGTCATTCAGTAAAAGCAATTTCCATGTTAGATAAACAATCTCCAACCACATTTTAAAGCAGCAAAACACAGGAGAAGCAAATGAGATAATTTTGCCTTCCTTTTTCTCTGAAGCTTCTTAGCTTCCCAAGAGAAGAATCCTAAGCAAAGAAATTTTTCCAAAAAATATAACAGTGACGTCACATCTGCCCCAGAGGCCAGGGAGCTGCTAGGCTGAGGGAGGAACTTCAGCTGCTGCTTTGGAAGGCCATGCTCAGAGAACTGTCATCAGTTCTATTCAGTGCTATTGAATAAACAGCATGCAGTCATTGCAGGGGCCAGTAGAGACCCGTGGAAAGTGGTTGTGAGATAACAGCTCAGAGGAAGAGTTTCAAACATGCACTTTTCTTTAAGGAAATGTTTAGCAGTGAAAACGCTCACATGTTAGAAAAGTACTTCATGGTTATGTTCTTGTACCAGAAGGGGACAAGGTTAGATTATAACATGGAATTTGAAAAGACATGGGAAGTTAGGTGAGATCCTTTCATTTCTGTGGCATCTCATGGGAACAGATTGCAGTACATAGAGAAGAGTATTTACCAAACTTGCAGTAAATGAGGGGATCTACCCAACTGCCAGTATACTTTTACTGTTTTAAAATTTTAGAAAAGGGATGTAAATTTTGCTAATAAACGAGATTGTGTCTTTGCTATTAAATGAGATGATGAGAGCTTAAGGAAGTGATCCAAACAGCAGTTCATGGGATAAATGACCTCCAGGCAGTCAATAGAATAATATGAAACATTCTATTCAGTTTGATTTTCCACTACTATGGCAATGGTATGGGCATATGCCATTGATGGCAATGCAGTATCTGTGAAAATCCATGAAACTTTTCATGTTTCCTCATGATGGCCACAAAAATCTGGAAACCACTATTAACCTACAATCTGTTGATGTCACTGTTCAAACAATGGTTGATTTTTCAAGGCTACACCGTAATTAGGAGCATGGACTTACCAGCAGATCTGTGGGCTTGCATATGAATGCTGCTGTTTTAATTTCTAATGAATTTAAAAAATCAGAGCTTTTCAGTGCCCAGATCATTTATCAACAGATGGCATTATGTTATAGTAGGTGTGGGTTCTGTATAACTTAAATACATCCATGATGAACAAAATGTATACTAAATTTAAGTAATAACTTCAATATTTCATTTATATCAAGTATTGTGGACAGATTTATCAGTGTAATACAGCCAGTGTGAAACCAAAATAGAAAAACCTCATCCCTTGATGATGTCTGAGTGCCCAAATCAGACAGGGTCCAGCATGCTCAGCAGGCTGGCTGTTTCGTGTACCTCAGAGGATCCAGAACAAAGCCAGGGCATGGAGACACTCAAAGCTCCAGCAGAGTTCAGCACTGTGATCGCTAGGTTTATGCTCTTTCCAATTTTTTAAAATATTTCCTCATTTTACTCCTTTCTTCTTCCACTTCTTACAACTCTTTTCTTGTCATGTAAATATGTCTTGATTTTGACTGCCAGTGTAGGCAACATGTGCAGAATCTCAGTTTCTGACACAGCGTGAGTCAAATGTGTAGCACAGATTTGGGGTTGGAGACAGTTGGTGGGTTTCTGTTTGTTCTGTCTTTCCAGCACATTTAGTGCTGCCTCTTTGGTTATTACTCCTACCAATATATTAATTTTACTTTTCTTTCAATTTTATTGTAATTTCATAATACGATTATATCCTTTTGTTGTCAGAGTAGCTCACTTTCAAAAAAACTGCACAATGCCACCCATTTCAAGTAATTAGATAGCACAGGAGTTGCAACTGATATTATCATAATTATATATCAGTCCCTTTTGACATGCATCCTTTAACTCTCTCTTTAAAAATCACTGTAATTAGGCTCTTTTCATTTCTGTTAGTAAGTATAATTTTCTCAGTGTTCTCTAGCATGTAACATTCAGAGGGAAAAGTGTCTGCAGAGATAGTTTGTGTGATAGGCAGCAGCCCCATTTGCTTTGCACCACCTCATTAAAAGCTCCCTCTTTCAGAGGAGCTGCCAACACCTCAGAGAGCATCATCCTGTCTCCCTCAGGGGAGGCTGGTGATAGGGAAGGAGTTAAGGAAATTTCATGATGGCATCACTGCAGGAAGACACACACCATGTCACTGTGTAAATAAATAATCCTTCCATGGAGCCTGCCACGCACCTTGTTTACTATTGTTCCCTGGTGTCTTACTGAGACAGGAGATTACCTGGCCAGAGTAACTTGAGTCAGAGCCACAGCCATAAAACCAAAACCTTTCCTAGCCCAGAAGCAGAAAATATTTAATAAAATGCAAAACACTTCATCCCTTTTCCTTTTGCTGGCCATCTGCTGCTAATTGTGGGGCAACTTGTAAAGGTAATTAGATGTCTAGCAGTGCAAAGATGGTGTTTGCTGGTGTTGTAAAAGCATTTGAACACATCTGGAATTTCACTCTTTTCAGAGCTGATTGAGATTAGGCACGTGTCTCACTGAGGAGCTTTTGGAATTTCCCCCAGACACCTCTCTGCACCTGTAGGCAGCTGTACTGCCTCTGTAAATCCAATCATGGAGCCTGCTGAAGAAGAGAATTTTCTTGCAACCTATTCCCTATTCTTCCATGTCATCTGTAAAAATGAAATGCTAATAATAAACTCTAAAGCTATTTTAGACGTGCCCTCGGGCTTCTAAGTGCAATATTTCAGACTTCAGACATAGCTCCACTTCTGAGAGCATTTCAATACCCTGCAAGAGAAAACCCTGTAGACAGTCAGATTTCCTGCAAATTGAGTCTACCCTGAAACTAGTAACCACCTATCTAGGTCAGTGCAGGTAGATGTTGGTTTAGCAAGTCCATGTGTCGTATTCTATTTGCACGTACATACTCTGAGGAGCTTTTAGAATTTTACTTTTAACTTTTTTCCATCTCATTCCCAAGTGAAAAAAAGTAAAAAGCTCTGAAATACAAGTAAGGATTTATTCATTCTTCTGAATCATAGAATATTCTGAGGTGGATGCTTCACAATACTCTGGTAGAAAGAGGAAAGATGGGGAAAAAAAGAGTGTTTCTCCTCGGATGGACTTCTACTGTGTTTAAGATTCTTCTGCTGTAATATTGATCATCTTGATTACAGCAAGCCTAATGAATTTTAATAGCAAAGAGAACTGGCATTTTCAGTTGTAGTTACAAACTTCATATGGATATAAATGTAATGATGAGGTCAGAAGCAAAAGAAAATAAGATCAAAGTATTAAGTCACATCGGTATCTATAGAAAATAAGTTAATTAAGTAAAAGAATTATGCTAGAGGAGCTGGTAGAGATTTCTGTGGGTGGAAGAAAGTTTAAAATGGAAGCCTAAACAGATTAAGAGCTATTGTTTGGAGTTCAGAATACTTGGTGAATCAGATTTTTCAAAGCCTTCCAGAGATGTGATGCAATTAGCATATTCTGAATGTTTTTCTTGTCTTAAAACTATCGCACAGCTTTCAAGCTTGGAGCACTAGTGAAGCTTTCAAGCTGGATTTTTGGATGTGCTTCTTACTGATGCCAGATTAAGTAAATTAGAAAAGGACTTCATTTCATCTCCCTGTTTCTAAAGGTTTGTCTATTCAGATTGACTCCTGACCCCCAGCAGAGATTACTGGTAAATAATAGACAAGTAGAAATTTCTGCTGCTGAGCCAGTTCTACCCCCAATACTGCCCCCAATATTGCAGTGGTAGGTGGTTTAGATGCCAGATTCAACACCTTGACCAACTGCCTTTTTCTTCAGAATATCCAGCTGGTTAAGTCTTGTGGGTTTTCAGTCCTTCCATGCTGTTAGAGGCAAGGTGGAAAACTAGGTTGTATATCTTAAAAACAGGATATACATTTTTCTCTCCTTTGAAGAAGAAGAATGTAGTAGAGATAGTCCCAATTGACAAGTCCAATTTTAAAGATGCCAATATTACAGTGGAATTTGGATCTTGAAACACATGTGAATCTCATGATTTTTTCCTATCTCTGTAATGTACTAACCAACTGTTTGGCTCCAGATGTTCCACAGTTGTGAGCAAAGCCAAAGTTTGCAATCTGTGTCTGCCACTGGGGTGCAAGTTAGACTCTGCTAGAGTCTGAGTGAATCCTATAGCTTGTGTATAATTCTGGCAGTTGCAAAGCA